CGTGGCAACATTGGCTACAAGGAAGCTCCTCGCACCAGTGCTCGCAAGCTTGAGCACTACGTTAAGCACATGGCTGAAGGAGGCCCTATCTCTGAGTACAGTAACCGCACCAAGGTTCAGAACGACCTCAAGAGTGTTTACAAGCTCATTCGCAAGCAGCATCGTCTCTCCAAGTCGTCCCAGCTCCAATTTGATGCACTGTACAAGGATGTTGTTCACGCTCTCGGCATGAACGAGAGCCAAATTATCCCCCAGGAGAACGGCCACTCCAAGAAGGGAGGCCGTAGTGCTGCCAAACGCACTACTCCCACTCGCCCTGGCAAGGTTGAGACCATTCCATTCCTGCACCTGAAGAAGAAGACCGAACACGGCTGGGACTACAATAAGAAACTAACTGGCGTCTATCTGAATGTGTTGGAGTCGGCTGCCAAGGACGGCCTCACCTTCCAGGGCAAGAACGTACTGATGACCGGTGCTGGTGCCGGTTCTATTGGTGCTGAGGTTCTCCAAGGTCTGATCAGCGGTGGTGCTCAGGTTATTGTCACTACTAGTCGCTTCTCGCGCGAGGTAACCGAGTACTACCAGGCCATGTATGCCCGCTACGGTGCTCGTGGCTCCCAGCTTGTGGTCGTGCCGTTCAACCAAGGCAGCAAGCAGGATGTTGAGGCTCTGGTCGAGTACATCTACGACAGCAAGAAGGGTCTTGGCTGGGACTTGGACTTTGTCGTTCCCTTTGCTGCCATCCCCGAGAACGGCCGCGAGATTGATTCTATCGATTCCAAGTCCGAGCTGGCTCACCGTATCATGTTGACCAACCTGCTTCGTCTTTTGGGCTCGGTCAAGGCCCAAAAGCAAGCTCATGGCTTCGAAACCCGCCCCGCTCAAGTTATCTTGCCCCTGTCACCAAACCACGGCACATTTGGTAATGATGGCTTGTACTCTGAGTCTAAGCTTGCTTTGGAGACTCTGTTCAACCGTTGGTACTCGGAGAACTGGGGCCACTACCTTACCATCTGTGGTGCGGTCATTGGCTGGACCCGTGGTACTGGTCTGATGAGCGGCAACAATATGGTCGCCGAAGGCGTCGAGAAGCTGGGCGTCCGTACTTTCTCTCAGCAGGAGATGGCTTTCAACCTCCTCGGACTGATGTCTCCGGCCATCGTCAACCTTTGCCAGCTCGATCCAGTCTTTGCTGATCTTAACGGTGGTCTGCAATTCATTCCAGACCTGAAGGGCCTGATGACCAAGCTTCGCACCGACATCATGGAGACCAGCGATGTCCGCCAGGCCGTCATCAAGGAGACCGCCATCGAGCACAAGATCGTTAACGGCGAAGACAGTGGAGTTCTTTATAAGAAGGTTGTTGCTGAGCCCCGTGCCAACATCAAGTTTGAATTCCCTAACCTGCCCGACTGGGAGAAGGAAGTCAAACCGCTCAACGAGAATCTCAAGGGCATGGTCAACCTGGACAAGGTGGTCGTTGTCACCGGTTTCGCTGAAGTCGGCCCTTGGGGTAACTCCCGTACCCGATGGGAGATGGAATCTAAGGGCAAGTTCTCATTGGAGGGCTGTGTTGAGATGGCATGGATCATGGGTCTGATTAAGCACCACAACGGTCCCCTCAAGGGCCAGGCCTACTCTGGCTGGGTTGATGCCAAGACCGGCGAGCCCGTTGATGATAAGGATGTCAAGCCCAAGTACGAGAAGCACATCTTGGAGCACACTGGTATCCGTCTGATCGAGCCCGAGTTGTTCAAGGGATACGATCCTAAGAAGAAGCAGCTTCTTCAAGAAATTGTCATCCAGGAGGACCTTGAACCTTTCGAGGCTTCCAAGGAGACCGCTGAAGAATTCAAGCGTGAGCATGGAGACAAGGTCGAGATCTTTGAGATCCCCGAATCTGGAGAGTACACCGTCCGTCTTTGCAAGGGCGCCACTATGCTCATCCCCAAGGCCCTCCAGTTCGATCGTCTTGTCGCCGGTCAGGTGCCCACAGGCTGGGACGCCAGCCGCTATGGTATCCCCGACGATATTATCTCCCAGGTGGATCCTGTGACACTCTTCGTGCTGGTCTGCACTGCTGAGTCTATGCTTTCAGCCGGTATTACCGACCCTTACGAGTTCTACAAGTATGTTCACCTGTCTGAGGTTGGCAACTGTATTGGCTCGGGTATCGGTGGTACCCACGCTTTGCGCGGTATGTACAAGGATCGCTTCCTCGATAAGCCACTGCAAAAGGATATCTTGCAGGAGTCCTTCATCAACACTATGTCCGCCTGGGTCAACATGCTGTTGTTGTCCTCTACCGGTCCTATCAAGACACCCGTCGGTGCTTGCGCCACGGCTGTTGAATCTGTGGATATCGGTTACGAGACCATTGTCGAGGGCAAGGCACGTGTTTGCTTCGTTGGTGGTTTCGATGACTTCCAGGAGGAGGGCTCCTATGAGTTCGCCAACATGAAGGCCACTAGCAACGCTGAAGATGAATTCGCCCACGGTCGCACCCCGCAAGAGATGTCACGACCCACTACCACCACTCGCGCTGGCTTCATGGAGTCCCAGGGTTGCGGTATGCAGCTCATCATGACTGCACAACTTGCTCTCGACATGGGAGTGCCGATCCACGGTATCATTGCTCTGACCACCACTGCCACTGACAAGATTGGACGGTCCGTTCCTGCTCCTGGTCAGGGTGTCCTGACCACCGCCCGCGAGAACCCCGGCAAGTTCCCATCCCCTCTGTTGGACATCAAGTACCGTCGCCGTCAATTGGATCTCCGCAAGAAGCAGATCAACGAGTGGCAAGAAGCTGAGCTTCTGTACCTCCAGGAGGAGGCCGATGCCATGAAGGCTCAGAGTGATGAGACCTTTAACGAGGCTGAGTACATGCAGGAGCGTGCTCAGCACATTGAGCGCGAAGCCATTCGCCAGGAGAAGGATGCCCAATACAGCCTGGGCAACAACTTCTGGAAGCAGGATTCACGCATTGCTCCCCTCCGTGGTGCCATGGCCACTTGGGGTCTCACTGTTGACGACATTGATGTCGCATCCTTCCACGGTACCTCTACTGTCGCAAACGACAAGAACGAGTCCGATGTCATTTGCCAACAGATGAAGCACCTTGGACGCTCCAAGGGTAATGCAGTGATGGGTATCTTCCAGAAGTACCTCACTGGTCACCCCAAGGGTGCCGCCGGTGCCTGGATGTTCAACGGCTGTTTGCAGGTCCTGGAGAGTGGTCTCGTGCCAGGCAACCGCAACGCTGACAATGTTGACAAGGTCATGGAGAAGTTCGACTACATTGTTTACCCCAGTCGCAGCATCCAGACCGACGGTGTCAAGGCGTTCTCCGTCACCTCCTTCGGTTTCGGTCAGAAGGGTGCTCAGGTTATTGGTATCCACCCCAAGTACCTGTATGCCACTCTTGACCAGGCTCAATACCAAGCCTACAAGACCAAGGTCGAGGGTCGCCAGAAGAAGGCCTACCGCTACTTCCACAACGGCCTGATCAACAACAGCATCTTCGTTGCCAAGAACAAGGCTCCTTATGAGGATGATCAGCAGAGCAAGATCTTCCTGAACCCCGACTACCGTGTGTCTGTCGACAAGAAGACCTCTGAGCTCAAGTACTCAAACACTGCGCCTGAAGCCAAGCAGTCTGAGAGCACTCGCAAGACCCTCGAGTCCCTTGCCAAGGCCAACGCCGCCGAGAACTCCAAGGTCGGTGTTGACGTCGAGCACATTGATTCCATCAACATTGAGAACGAGACTTTCGTCGAGCGCAACTTCACACAGAGTGAACAAGACTACTGCCGCAAGGCTGCCTCCCCCCAGTCCTCGTTCGCAGGCCGATGGAGTGCCAAGGAAGCTGTCTTCAAGTCATTGGGTGTCAGCGGCAAGGGTGCCGGTGCTGCGTTGAAGGATATTGAGATCGGAGTTGATGCCAACGGCGCTCCGGTGGTGAACGTAAGTGCCTGATTATTCTATGGTTCCTAGTGGCAAAACGCTAACATATCTCTAGCTTCATGGTGCTGCCGCTGCCGCCGCTAAGCAGGCGGGTGTCAAGCAGGTCAGCGTTAGCATCAGCCACAGTGACTCACAGGCTGTTGCTGTTGCGGTCTCGCAGTTTTAGATGTGCATTTTCAGTTTCTGTTCGCATATAGATCCTAGAGGCTAAAGGTTCTCTTGGGTTGAGACGTAATGATTGTGATATATTTTTTTTCTAGATTTCGAACCAGCTTCGTCTCCTGGTTCGTTGTGTTTATAATGGGAGTGATGACATTTATTAGTTCTTTTTTCTTCGAATTATCTTCATAAAACAAAGAGCTACGTATATGCATTGTACGGTGTAATACTATTAAGTATTTACCCACTCGCCATTTTCCCACCAAAACTGACCAACTTTGAACCGACCTGTCTTTGTAAATTTATATTGTAACATGGTTTTTAATTAGTTTTGAATCAGTCAAAATTGCACATCAAGAGAAATGTATATATAATCTATCTTGGTAAGTGTCTTAGAGACTTGTATATTTGCAACCATTGACAAGAGATATGTAGATTGCGAGTTTAGTGTGGGCGCCCTCATATATATACTCGACACTGCAATGAGCATTGATATTTCAACCAGTGACTATTTAGCAGTCACACGTATTTAATCATTCGGAAAGAAAAATTTGATGAAACTAATCTTCTCCTATCGAAAGTTTTGTTAGACACGATTACCATATAAATATCTTGAGAGAATTCAAAGTTGATCGGTTTTGGTGGGAAATGGTGGGTAACTACGTAGTTGGCAGGTCTCTGTATAATCCAATCCTCAACAAACAGTGTGCCCTTCTATCGCACGTAGTTGGTACTGTGGTCCTGGCCCCCATCTCACCAGATCTCCCCAATATTTTTTTTTGAGTCTAGTGCTTATTAAGAAGTCAGGATATATACCTAGCCTCCGATTTCTGTGTTTACTCAACATCGTGAGTCACTGTTCAGACATCGTAAAAATGGCAGTTGGCAGTTGTTTCTGTGGCAAGATCCGAGTCGAACACAATGGCCAACCTATAACGTCGGTGAGTACCACTGACAGTATTCAAGTCTATGGTCACAGAGCTAAGCATACTTCCTAGGCAATCTGTCACTGTCTCGATTGTCGCAAGATTACCGGATCACTCTATTCGTGCAATATTCTCGTCAAAACCGCCGAATTGCAGATCTCCGGAAGTCCGAAAGAACTATCAAAGACATCGGATAGTGGAAACAGTATTAAGAACTATTTCTGTCCGGACTGTGGTATATATTGTACTGAATTCGAGAGGAAGCATCTGACGAAAGTGATAGGCACGCCGCTTTTTGGACGGAAGATAGAGTCTAATGGAGAACCTAACGAGGTCACAGTTGTCCGGGCAGGAATATTCGATGACCTTGAGATATTGAACGAACAGAAGCCTCAGGTCGAAATCTACGCCGAGAGACGAGTGAAGTGGGTATGTCCAATTGAGGGGGCTGCTCAAGTGGATGGCATGTTGCCAGTACCATCCGCATAATAATCAAGCCTGAGGTAATGGATCTCTATCATCTCACGGAGTCTTGGAGACCCGTACGACTCCCGACATCGGCAGGCCGTTGATCTCAGATGCTCCGTACAATGTATCTTTCAATTACGCTTTGGCATATATAGAATTCGAGCATATTATATACATGAGAACCAGAAGGGGTAAGCCGATATGCATGTTCGTATGGAGTCATACTACAGGGGTTTTTCACACAAGTTATTAGATAGCATTTCGAAGGTAGATGCATCGTGCCATTGCCAAGACTGAGCATAGGTTTTAGCAGTGGGGAGGCTGAGAGAAGGATAGTGGAATTCACAGCCCTCTCTAAGAGTTCAAATCAAAAGAAAGTGGAAGTACCTAAAAGTCTGCAGGAAAGTCCGACGTCCGTGTAAGGTTCTACCTGTACCCTAAAAAAGGCTTCTCTCATTTTAACACTCGGAAAATACCAAATATGGATTGTTATGTTCAAATGATATGCAAAAGTCGCTTTGCACTGGATATTAGGTGGGTGATCTCTTTATGAACTATGAACAGCCAGCATGACATGCCTGCGGAAAATATTCGTTGAAGCATTCCTAGTCACAGAGTGCCTGCTGGACATTGGTAGATAGGAAATGAAAGTAAAAACATGAAAAGTATTCGACATTTGATTGTAACTTGGAATCACTTGACACAAGTCCTAGTTCCCCTTCCAGGGACCTGGTCGCAGCATACGATCCTCTTTTCCGTAAACACTGACATCCTTGACGATGGCGATGAATCTCCGATGGTTCTCCTTGGACTCGCCGATGCGGGGACGGAAGACCTTCAGGAGATCGCTGCTGAGGATGCCTGATGCTGGAATGGCTGCGTGAATTTCGCCGGCCGTCGGGAACGTCTGGTTTCCAGAAATTGGGGTTGACACACGTTGGCCTGCAGATGGTTAGTTTATGTCTCATATCAAGAATAGATTTGGACCGGAACCGACCTCGGGGGACGTCAGGGCTGTTGGCACGGCTTCCGGGGAGTCGAGGCAGAGGACTTGCGGCGCGGGACCCTTGTGGGGTGCCACCACGAGAAGCCACAGGGTTGAGTTTGAGTTTCTTGATCTTGCCACCCTCGCTCATTTCAGCTCCAGATCCGACAGCGTCGACATCACTGCCAGATCCAGCGCCACCAGGAACATTTCGCACGCGTTTCTTGCCAGTCTGAGTAAATCAGTATGTATTGACAAAAGGGTTATAACTGTACATACCTGCAAAGCTGATGGAGAGATCGGACGCGACGGGGGTTGAGACGCAGAGAGATGCATGCCTTTGGCCTTCTTTCGCGATGTATCGGTGCCGCTCGCATCGGAGGCGTTTGGTGATCCAAGCCTTTTCCGAGACGGTTTCTTCAGGGCATCTGTATGCTTGGGTCGACCGGAGGGAGTATTTGTTCCCTTGGAGTTCGCTTCTTTCTGGGCCTTTTCTTCTTCTGCCTTCTTCCGTTCCTCTTCCTTGGCCCGCTCGGTTTCGCTGTCATCGGAGCTCTGTATACATTAGTTTGGCGTTTGCTGCCAAAGATGGATGAAAATTTACCTCCTCGTCCGTGTACGGATTGACGTCCGAACCGCTGCTGTAATCAAAGTTCCGTTCTCTCTTCTTCAGAGCTTTACGCACACCCTTGCCCAAGACACGCCGGGCCTCTCTCTCACGTTTCTCTCGCATTTCTTCAGCATCATACTCCTTCTCGTCCTTGAGACCGAACACATTCGCCTTGAGCTGGTCCTCTTTGATTCTCTTTTCGGCATCCTTCGCATCTTCATCCTCATTGAAGAGGTCATCGTGCTCTTCGTCGTCGGCAAATCGATCCTCTTCGAAATCCATTTCACCAGCCTCCAACCCGGCGCCCTTGGCAGCTGTGCCCTGTTTTCCAGCATAGACTTTGCGCTGCTTAGCATATGTTTCCAATTCTTTTTCTTGCTCCAACTGTTGTTGCTTTTCCATAAACCATCGAGGGTCTTTCACTCTCTTCGCCATGAATTTCTCTGCCTCGTCAATAGTCAAAGCCTTGAAATTACTCTTAGCGTTGAACTTGTACCACTTCTCCACCGGAATCATTCTCATTTTCCCGTTGTCGAGAATGAATACTGCATGTGTTTCCGACAGGGCTGCTTCGTAGTTTCCAACCCAGGTATGCTGGTTGTCAAAATCTTCCAGGTGCCATGGCAAGGCCTCTTCGTACTTGATACGTGCCCTTGCAATCTCTTCAGGTGTCATATCCGACTTGAAAACCTGCTGTGTTTTCTGCTTCGGGGCATTTGGTCGTTTCGAGGTTGAGCCGAGGGCAGGGGCGATTTGGGACAGGTTTTCTGCTCGCTCTTTTTCACGTGCTGCTTTTCGGGCATCAAAAGCTTCGCGTTCAGCTTCATCCATAGGCTGGCCATCGATCTCGGACCGTCCCGAATTTGGATCATGAGTTCGTGAACGCGGATCGCGGCGGTGAAGTCGGACTGGTCGTGTGAATTGTGATTCATCACGTGGATCGACGCTCTTCTTTGAAGCAAATCGCGCGATGTGATGCTTTAGTCCTTCCATCAGAGCTCGCTTTGTCGTCACCACCGGGTAATCGAAGTATTTATCGCTGAGCAAAGGACCGCTAAAGCCATTCGCAGACATGTTATTGTTCGAAAGCTCAAGCATAGGTCGGTCGGACTGGAAGATAGTCTGGGGTTTGGACGTTTGTGGCCGTGAGGGAAGAGTCTTAGTGGCTGTTCCATTGCCGGCGGGAGTGGCGCCAGCTGGTTTGGGGGCAGGCCTTCTTTTAGGTCGGACCAAAGGATCCGCTGCTTTTGGACGACGCATTCTCATCAAAGGTGCGCCATTGGGCCCGGTTGGAGTGCGAGCATTTGAGGGGTTCGTTGGTGTCGACATGTTGCCGATGTCCAAAGCACAGATGGTACGAGTGGTAGAAAGCGACGCGGCGGATCGCGCCAGGGATGAAAGTATGGAACCAGGCTAACCTTTTGCCTATCTTGTGTTGCGACAAGAGGGGGTCGGTTTGCAGCAGAGTGAGAGATGGGAAAGTTACTTTGAAAGAGCTGGAGACAGCGACCCGCAGGTATGACGGTTGACCTCGGAGCGAGTGTTTACCCGTCCCGTGGATATGGTCACGTGCTTCGGGGAGATCTCCGGTTTGTGTGGTCTGTGCGTCAGGAGGCTCTTTTGAAGACCACACCCTACGGTATGTACATGATACCCTATACCCACCCTGAGAACCTGCCAAAACTTTGGGTTTTGGATCAACTGACCAACTGACTTCCAAATATAGAGAGCATGCAAATCAGTCTATAGATACTCGTTGCTTTACATTGGACAACCGTGAACCCTGATCTTGGAAGTGTGTTATTTTGGAATTTATAGATCTGGTCGTGTCGTACCCGGGAACAACTGATGTGAGCAGTCTTTCCATCATAGAATAAAATATTACGAAGCTACTTCGGTTGGATTTCCTTTCATATCCGCGTCACCAGTATGACATTACAGAACGCAATCATCGTCATTCACCCAAACACGTGCAACTGATGAGCAACAGAGCGATTCCCACACTGCGTGATAATTGCATTCTGATCAAGAATGTCAGCGTGGCTTTAAAACTTAACTACTGGAAGCATATTAACCTCCTTGCGCCGCTGGTTGTGCTAGTCGGATGTGATTTCGTTGGTATCGTGGAATGTGCCGGCAAAGACATCACGAACACCTTCAAGAAAGGTGGCCGAGCTTATGGCTTTGTTCATGGGTCCAACACCGTTCATCCTGAAGAGGGAAGCCTCTTTCAAATACGTTATGGGTAAAGGAGGCTTTCAATACAGCATCCCCTAACGCATGACTTGTGAAGAGGCAGCGACTCTGGGACTTGGGACTGTAACCATCGCTCTGGGTCTTAACCAAAGCCTCGGCCTAGCTCACCCCACACTTCCAGCTCAAGGCAAATCCAAAAGGCTGATCTTGAGTTACGATGGAAAGCTGAGAGTATGAGCAATCTAGAGAGGTATTTGGCACAGTGGGAGTTGGTTTCAAAGACCCGAGATGAAAATAGGGCGTTTAGGTTCCTTTCAGTAGTCTCGCCTGTCCTAGAAGTTAAACTTCAAGTTAAGCCAATGGATGGTAAATGGTTCAGCCCTGTGATTGTTTTGGCCGCGGTAAAGGAGTATATCGCATAGAAATGGGTGAGATTTCCCGACTATTATGGTCCTCGGTCGATTTGGAGGAAAATAGAATTCAAACTGTAACGCGTCTCGAGATCCTCTCGAGCCAACTACTTAGTCAGATTATCCAAGTCCAAAGTTTTCAGAAAGAAAGGCCAGCCATTCTTGACTTTCTATTTCGCTAGGTACTACTTGTAGTATATCAACTGATAGGGTTTGTATCTTTTCGCTGGGATTTCTGCCTCAATCGAGTCAAGCTTAGTGACCGAATCGTTGACCCGGTTCCAGTGGTTTGTATGGACAAGCAATCCAATCACACCCCTTGAGACGATTAGCGGATATCAAACAACGAGATAGTCAAGGACTTACTTGTTTATAAATCTCGGTTCCCCACCATTTGAAACCATCGACCCAGCCAGGATAGATGAAGGCGAAGAAGACAACGACCACTGCGAATGCTAACCCAGAATCCAATGCAGCCGATAAAGTCATTGCATATTTTTCCCACCATGCGGTTCTCCTTCGCCGGATCACATAATTGAACACAAAACATACAAGGGCCCAGATGGAAAAGTTGAGCCCGGTTGCAGGAGGAATCCAGCTCAGACTGCCAAACAGGATAGGGAAGTTGACCATACGCCAAAAGCTTTTCTTGCTATGTCTCCCTAGAAGCCATGCTCCAAGGGGCGCCACGGCTCCCATCAAAAAGGCCCAGACAAGCGGACGATAGAGCCCCCCTGGGCCAAAGAAGCGCTGGGGCCCAACGACTCCCCAGAGTATGCTGCCGTTGAAATGTACTCGAGCAATTGGGCAGTTGAAACCGTTGATGGCCTCCGGTGTGCAAAGTCCCGGGACAAAAGTGAACATCCAATTCAGCACACCAATTTGGGTCAGACTCGAGACCAAAGTTGCCATCATCTGGACGCTAAACAGAATCCGTGGGGGGATCTTCATGTAATGGCCGAGTTTGAGGTCCGACGAAAATTTGATCCCTTGTGCAGAGCTGATATATGAGTAGGTCACGAAGATCATGTTCGCCACAGGCCTTCCTGGGAATACAATACCGCAAAGAAGTTGGCAGATCAGATAAAGACTGCTATGCTGATTGGTGACGGCCATGATGATGCCCACTGGGATGAAGAACACACAAGTGATACCAAGAGCCAAGAGTAGCCCATACCAAGGTAGGTGTGTTGGATAACTTTGGGGCGAAAGTCAGCTACTATCAAAGATTAAAGAGAAGGGTAACTTACTATTCCACTGTGAAGATGGCAGTGGCGAGCATGGAAATGAACACGATAAGATACCACGTGAGGGGTGCGTCCTTGTAGCGCCTCATCAAACGGCAATGAACATCATCCCCTCCCACTGGAATTTCCTGGCTCGGTTCATGAGAGCTGGTCCTTGGAATGTCATGACTCTGTCGAACCGTATCATTGCTTCCACGAAGAGGCTGGTACGTTTCCGCGTCTGGCACTTCTCGTCTTTCCTCAAAGGCTTTTCTGGTCTGATGCCAGATGTCTTTCCCATACCAGCAAATGGTGTGAGTGACAAGGGATGTCAAAGCAGCAAACTGAACACCGTAGGACAACACATAGGTGATTGGGAGATAAACCGAGGAGTAATCTTGATAGGCCTTTTCATCGAACAAAAAATCCTTGGTCAAGATTCGGCTAACGTCATATGGCCGCCCAGTGTTGTCGAATACTGCTGTTGAAACTATGGGCATATATGCAGAGAAAAGCACATTTTTGTAATCTTTGCTTGATCAGCAGAGTTGAATGAGATAAGATGGGGAGATCTTACACAGTATTGGCGCGACTACCCATATGACGACCACCAGTCCCGTCACGATGTTAGCTGCAGCCCACCAAGGCGTGAGTAATGGGGAGCCAATATAGGCAATTTGAGCCCAATCAAAGGTCAAAGGGAACATCCCGAGACCGGAGGCAACGCCAAACTATAAAAATTAGTCAAAGCAGCGGGAAACGACTCGAGTGACTTACCAAGTTCGAGATCACAACGTTTTTGGGTGCCAGCCAGGTGATCACATTGAAATAGCTAAGAGCAGGCATCAACAATCCTGGAACAAAATACCAGAGAAAAGCGCCTGCCCACACAACGACGAAGAATTTATATCGGGAGATACTCCATCCGTTTGCCTTTTTATTGACAGACTTGTGCATTGTTGAGAACATTGCAGTAGACATCAGGGTTCCCGGCCAGATCATAGCCGATGGCCGCACGAGGAATCGTCGAGTGAGACCCGCGAATGCATACCCCAAAACCTGAGTGGATATGATGAGTAGTAGCTGATATATAATTGGAACATCCTGATGGTAAAATTTGTGTTGCTCGACAATAACCTTTCATCGTTAGCTTCGTCACAAATATTTTGGCGGTGTACGAACATCAGTTGCGAAAGCAAACCCGAAGGAAACATTGCTACTAATGTAGACACAAGCATGCTCCTTCTCATTCCACCGGCCCTGTGCAAGCCAAAGTCTGACCCGGGACGCTAATGAAAAAGGAGGGGCCTCGATCTCACTCGAGAGCGATTCCCGGTGGTGAAGGGTTCCGTTCTCAAAGATCTCAAGAGGATCTCCTGTTTGTTTCAGAAGCACATCCCAAAACTTGCCCAGTGGATGAACTAGAACAAGAGCAATGATTGGTGTAATGGAAACACTAGGATAGCGCAAGGAAAAGAAAAGATTGGCGGCGGACCCCGTCAAAGAGAATAACAAAGAGAGAAACCACATCCGTGGTGCTGGAAAACATTAGGTATTAAAGAATACATGTATGAGAAAGAAAGCTTACTGTTAATAGAAAGAGTGATATCATCCGTCGCCGGAACCGAAGCTCGTACTTGAGCATACGGCGAATTGTCTGGAGGATCCTCACTCGAGGACTTTGAATCATCATCATCATCAATATCCAGGAAATTTTCATCATCACTTGTCATATATGGCGAAGGTGCCGGTGTCTCCTGCATCACCGGGTTGCCCAGTACAGCCAATCCTGTGGCAAAAGAGTATTTCGAATCAGGACCCATTCCCACATCGGACGTGGCGGATGACGGCCGACGATCAGCGATCTCTGCGTACACGCTGTTTCGTCGTCTGACTGAGGACTGTGATCGTCTCGGGGTAGACCCTGGTACAGTAGAAGAGCTTCCAACATCATTTTCGAAGCTCGCACGTTGTAAACTTCTAGGAACATTCTGACGACTCGGTATGGATATATCCTCTTCGGATTCATCTGGGCTTTGTAATGCTCCGTAGGAGGAAGCACCCAGGGCGGGCGTCGAAGGAAGAAGAGGGGCGCGCGACATGAAGCCCCGAAAGCGCTGAACAATCCCAGTGTCGGGGTTCACGTCGGGTGGTAGATTGTCGATTTCGGGGCAATTTCCATTGTCGCTCGCACAATCATCGAAATTGGAATCAGTTTGATCCGATTCAGCGGGAAGCCACTTGCGCCTCGAGGTCGAGGGACAAGACAGCTTCCGCGTCCGCAGCGGAATATTGCTCGACGTGATGTTGGGGGGGATGATGAAATACTCTGAGTATTTCGGGTTAGGGCGTGCAGTAGCTCGGAATCAATCTTGGCATTGAGGAATCGGAAGAGAGAATCACAGAGCTAGTGGAGGACTAAGGTCGTAGTGTGGTGAAAAACGACCGGTCGTCCATCTCCGGGGCTGCCCCACCCGACATCGGCCGATTTATCTTCCCTTTCCAATGACAATGATACGTACATACAACTACGGAGTACTCCATACGACCTACAGTGTTGTATAATTTGTCCATATGTACAATTGATTTGGTATCTAATCATTAAAACAGTTCTACAACATCTTCATCCTCGTTTTTAGGCGCCTCAACTTTAGGTTGTTCGGGCTCTCCTTCGCCTTCACCTTCCTCATCTCGCATCAGAACCTGCACTAACCGGTCGCATGCCTCCGTCACATTCTCGTCTTCAACATGCAAATGGGTTTCACGGATCAAAGGGTAGACCTTGACTGCTCGCATAATATCCCGGCCATCCCGAGTTGTGGTCAAGAGAAGCAATGTTTCGAGATGGGTCGTGATAATGGTGGGGTCGCTGTCTCGTTGCTTATCGGGCGGCAGGAGCTGAAGATCTGGCAGCATGTCCGCAGTATCTTCATCTGACAGCTCCTCTGGACCTGCAAGTGGGAGTAACAGGTAAGGCAGAAGGTTGGCCCCGTCCTCGTCAAAGAGCATTGGGTGTGCATCGACTTCGAAAGCCACGTTCTTGATTGTGGATGCAACGCCCTTCCTCCGAATATCGCTCTTGTGCTCCGTGAACACCGTCAGCTTGGTGATAGGGACCACATCATCGTACTCTTGACGTTGGGTGAAATAGGCTCTGCCCTTTTCCGTCTGAGACAGGTCGGCAAACACGTATGAAAGGTAATCATAATTGGCGCGCTTGTTGAGCGCACCCTCAGCGCCCTTTACAAAGCAGTCCATCAGTTGATCGATCGCGTTCTGGGAGGTAGATACGGATTCGGGGGCTTTTCGCTTGAGAGTGAGCAGTTTCTGTAGGTTTTCGCTTTTGACGAGATTGGCCAAAAGCATGGCCACTTCGTCGGCGTTGGGCTCCTCGACATTCTGAATTCAAACAATTTAGCTCCATTACTATCAACAGATATGATACCTGAGACAAACTCACAGTCAATTTCGCAAGCAAGTCCTCGATGAACTCATCCTCCGCGAGAAGTTTCAACACCTCTTCATCGCTAGACAGGTTGATCAAGATTATCAATGCATTCTTCGCAATTGGCTGCACAAAGACATCAGTCGACAGTCACGCCCTATGATCACAGATAACGCACAGTGTAATCGCGGACCAGAAGCTTTAAATCGCGGACAGGGAGGAGTTGATGGCGCTTAAACAACGCAGGCTGAGCCGTGGAGAAGCCGACGAGATTCTCGCAAGCTATGAGCTGTTAGATCATGTATTCGCGCAGCAAGAGGAGTGGTCGTACCGATTTGTCTGATTTGGGTGTTGCCATGGTGCAGGAATTCCACCAGCTATAAAAAGAGATGTGAGTGAGCTGATCGATATCGTAGGCCGTAGACACATACCTCTTCAAGTTCGGTCGGCATCTTGGGAGTATAATAAAGCCTGGAAGAAGGGCTGTGTGTCAATTTTCAAAATTGCAGAATCTCAAAGATTTTTTTTCCCGCGGAAGTGGGGGTTTTCGACGTCACTGGAAACGCGGAGATATCTACTTAGCCCTGGGATCTTTGCGATTTGTAATACATAGAGAGGTGTGGATATATTAGAGACTAGAAGTGATATAGCTGTATATCCAATCAGTGTAAATCTATATATTTCTCATATATAAGTTGATGTTACTATCTTCAAAAGAGGTCGTCATTGCCCCGCCTCTAGCGTTTCCGGACCTCCTTTGGCTTTGACCTTCAAACTACATCTATGCAGCTATACAGCTATAGAACTTCAGTCCACCACAACATCTCAATTGTACAATGGAGAGCCCAAACCTCAACGAGATTCATGACTTTCTAGTCTCATTAGCCTTCAAGGCCGGGGATATCATCAACAATGCACTCCCAGGAACTAACGACACAGGGTCCAAGATGAACAGTGCGTATATATACAGACAGCAAAAAAAAAAAAAAGAATATGACTGATCTCTGTAGGTACGGACCTCGTCACGGAATACGACCGTGCCGTCGAAAACATGATCTCAACCTCTCTGAGGGAGAAATACCCGCATTACGAGTATGTGCTTCCTCTTTCGTGCCGCCACACATATGCTTATGATATGTATTAGATTCCACGGCGAGGAAACATATGACCCAGCACGTCCACTGACCGATGCCCCTACCTTCATCGTGGACCCCATCGATGGAACAATTAACTTCGTGCACAGCTTTCCATTTGCCTGTGTTTCACTCGGGTTCGCTGTTGAACGTATTCCGACGGTGGGAGTGGTGTATAACCCTTCCACCAAAACCCTTTATTCCGCTATTCGAGGCCAAGGCGCTTTTCTCAATCGCGAAACTCGTCTGCCGCTCAAGGGCGACAATGTCGAGCCCCTGTCGGGACTAGCCAATGCTCTCATTGCCATTGAATGGGGTGCGGACCGCAGCGGGAACAACTGGGAGACTAAGCTTCGAACATATGAGAAGCTGGGCAAGTCAAAGGAAAACGGGGGTGCTATGGTGCGCGCAATGCGGAGCTTAGGCTCTGCTGCGTTGAACTTGTGTGCTGTGGCTGATGGCACGCTGGACCTGTATTGGGAAGGCGGATGCTGGGCCTGGGATGTCTGCGCGGGATGGGTTATCCTCTCTGAAGCTGGGGGTATCATGGCGGATGGTAACCCGGGCGTTTGGGAGGCTCGTCTTGACGGACGAAAGTATCTTGCCGTTCGGGGTTCTCCGAATGGGACTGGACAAAAGGAGATAGTGGAGGAGTTTTGGAGCCATGTTCAAGGCGAGTTGAAGTACTGATTACCTGCTTCGTAATTGCCTCGGACTAGTTGAATACGACATAGAAAAATTATCATTTGAAATATCACATTCGCATAATTACAGGGTATATATCTAAGGGAAATTATGTACAACGGAAGCCAGGCGCTATTGTCTGTGACGGAAACCAGCGCTAGTTTCCACTTCGAAGCCGGACTCGCTGTCATCCTCCACAACTTCACGATCAGTCCATCGTGCCGAATCCTGCCTCGATACATAGTTTTTCTCACTGGCGCTCATGTGTGATTCATCTTCAGCTGGTAAGGTATCCTTTGGAACAGAAGATAGGTCTTCCGATACATGGAGATCGGAGACATTTGGCATATCGTCTGTCTTTCTTACCGAATCTGGATCGACAGAATCGGACTGTCCTTCAACCTCATCACCTGAACTAGTCGGACCAACGTTTAGAGACTTGGCCATCTCTGCACTTTGCTTCAGGGAATCGTCAGTTTCCGCAGTGGGCGTGTCGCCGAAATGCGTATCAACCAAATGTTTCACAACAGGCCAGCCATAGGCATTGGTGAACATGCGCCGCACAATGATGTTATTGTGAGCATCTGGTTCAAGTCGAACAAGGACCTTACGCCAAGTCAGATCACGGTGATAGGCTCTCGCAATTTTCTCTTCGACCTTGAGGCCACTTTGGTGGTCTGCCATGCTAGCAGGTGGGTGCTCAGTGGGCGCCGACTTCGATTGCTTGCCCGGTAGTGAGCCAAATGCTAATGTGCGTCGCTTTACCGGTAAAGGGTGTGGTATATCCTCTGGGTGGTAGATGCGGTCGTGGAAAATTGTCCGGGGTCGCGAGGCAGGGTCCAAAATGAAATCCACGGGCGGCAAAGGCGGCATCAACAAGTCTCCCGCGGATTCGAAAAAGGTTGTCTTTGGAGGCGTATGCACCCCTTCGTGCTCGTGCGAGGAATGTCCCTGAACATCGGGTATTGTGCCGTCGCCGTCACCAGTCTCCAAAGTGCTCAGAGTCTGACTACGTTTGTAAATCCTGGCACTCTTGCTGTTGGGGGGATTTTTGCCCTGGTTTAGGCGAAACAGCGAGAAAAAGCTTTCTAGGGGACCGGAGGGCGTATTTCCCGGAAGGTTTTCTTTTACCACGGCCTCCTCTGGAATTCTTTGCTTTGACACACGACTGGATTGTGCCAGAAATTGTTCCGGCCTTGGAGAGACTGGATCGTCCGAAAGGTTATCTTTGGGCCTTGTGGGAATCTGGGCAGCGGAATGTGCATTTTGCTGACCGGACTCCATTGTCGGAAGACTCAAAGACGGGTCTTCATCGAGGCGAGGAAGTCGCGGGGATTTCGAGTTGGCGCCTGTCAACTCTGCCCACCCCCATTCGGCCATAGTTCCAACAAGCCCATTGTCCCTCCTTGCCTTTTCAACCCGATCCAGACCTTTCCAGTCCAGAAACAAAAGAGACGACGTCCGCAACGGAACTATCCCATCATTTACCACATTCGAGTACACCGTACGATGCTGGAATTTCTTAAGAACCTCGTGGGCAGGACCACAAGGAAGAATTCGTAAGAGTGGCTTAGAGCCAGGGTCCGAATGGCCGGGCTCTTTGACAGACTCTCCTCTTCCAGCGATAATAGCCCCCCAGCCACTTCGAACTTTTGGTGCTGTCCAGCTCAGTCCGAGATCTTGGCCAGTACGACCAACTAGACCTAAATCCAATGCAAATCGAACATATATCGGATTCTCATTGCTGAGACCAAGAAAAGGAGTTGCAAGAGCAATGAAGTTGACAGGCCTGATTCTCTCAAAGAATTGAGGCGAGTGTTTCTGTATATATGCGATTGCATATGTCTGAATCAGCCCACCGAGGGAATGGCCAACAAAACTAATGCTCGTAATCTGATATGCATGGTCGTCATTTCCAGATTCTTTAGCATTCTCCTGCGGGGTTGATTCGGCCGAATGAGCAAATGGCTGAGCTCGCTCCTTGTGGGCACTAAAAGGTCGAGAAAATGGGTTCGACTTTGAGCCCTTCAGAGGAAAGTAGGGCTGATCGGGATACGTGAGAAGCAGGACATATTTGGCCAGCCGTTTGCCAAGGTATTGAATCCCACGCTCAGTCCGAACAGCATTGCCAGAAAACCCTCTCACGATTACTTGCTCTTCGTCGTCATCGTTGGGATTGTCACCAGATTGGCTGTTCTGCTCTTGTGAATGACTGGATTTACCGCTAGAAAAAACGATGGATTAGGATTTTTAGATGCCAGAGCGCTCAAAGATTTCATACCTTGTCGAAAATTCTCCATCATCCAGTCCAACAGAGCCAACGTGGGGAGTTCTGGCTTGACTGTCGTTCTTTTTCTTTCTCATGGCTGCGTCAATGCTCTCCTTCAGATAGAGCATGTCTGCACCTAGGTTGCTGTGCAACCCGTGGGTCAGTAATACAAGGTGAACCGGCTTCTTCTTGGCACTTTTCTTTGGAGCTTCAGGAGAGTCCTCTGGCGCTGAATTGTGGCATGGAGGTTGAGAGCTCTGACTCTGCCGTTCAGCGCTTTTGGAAGCTGGCTCCGCTGAGGGGAATGGCGGATTGTTCCATAGACTAGTTGTATCGTCGACATGAAGCGCAATCGCTTTTGAGTACACACCTTTCGAGGCAAGCACCTGAGTACCTCTAGTTCCAGGCAGCCAATGGTCTTGTAACTTTGCCGGAGGCCCCGTCGAGCCATTTCCGCCACCCCATGCACCGCCTGAGAAATGTGCCAGCGACTTCTCATCTCGGCCCACTAGCAGCTCGAAATGTACTGCTGCGCTACTTGAGAATATCACTTGCGATTGAATTTCAACGATCCAGCTAACGCTCTGGCCACTTGCCGGTCCGCCTTGACCCGGAGAGCCAAAGTCGTGAGCTTCCAGGAGGTTATCCGGCACCTTGATGGCAGCGTCCCAACCGCCTCCGGCCTTGAGGTAGGGCTCGAACTGCGGTTTACCGTCTAGATCCTGTCGCTCATATTTGGTGTTGGGGTCAAACTGCGACGGATAGCAAGCGGCGTATAGCGTGTAGGGGCCATGGAGGTATGCGGCGCGTAATGGGATAGCAGATGTGTTCTTCACCCTCACATAGAGATTGGAAGGAATGGGCAGGATCGGATCGGCCGCCGGAGTGTATGTAATTGTGTATCTGACGGACGATTTCACCATTAACCAAAAAGACTTTAGACTCGAGGGACAATCTGGACCAGACTCACCTAACAACTTCCCCAACGCGCACACTACCCACTTGGTGGATTAATAACATGTCGGTCGCTTCCTTTGTATTCGGGCTTGTTTGCCAGCCGGAGAGGGTATGGAATCGCGATCTTTTATTGCGGAGTTGTGCTGCACCTAGGTCTGGAGTCTGGGAGGCTTGGTAGGTGCGCGCAGTGATCAGCATCGAATCTAATGGGCAGTTCCATTATAGTCAAGTCGAGGGTGCTAGATAAGAGAGGTATCATTTGCACATTTCATATGCTGGGGGTGGATGCAGATGGTTTATGGGGTCCAATCTCCGGAGATGGCGGAAACCACATGACTAAATTCCCTTTATGGATCGACAGTTGAACTAGTCCTTGATAGACCTGTCGACCGTATGCGACCGTATAAGCAAATCTTGGCGTCCATTTCCGTTTTAGTGCCCCTTGCCGCTTTATGCTCAGTAAATATTGAGCACGGCCCCGTGAGTGGTTGTTAGAGTAGACCTGCTAGCCCGCCTCGCTTATATGTGTTGTACTATGAAATTCTGGGGTCATTTCTAATATATATTATATCTATCGCAATTTAATGGATCTCTATCTAGTTGATCAAGTTCAACAAACGCCTAGATTCTTTACGAATTTCCACCCAACCATCTCTCTCGACAGCAACGATCTTTCCATCAATACAAACGCGCCGCCATTTCTCTTCATCTTCTTGAAAATCGATACGGACTTGTTCGGTGTCGACATAGGTGACTGTATCTTCTATCACATGTCGGCCGCCCTGGTAGGCCAGAGTCATCAAATGCATCGCATCTTCCGCCGACATGGGACCGAACCGGATGAACTTCATATTTCCATCCAGGGCCACAGAGTCTGGAGAAATCAAGAAGTCCTTCTCAAGTCGTGGAACGAGCGTAGCAAGCGCATACATATGCTCAAGCCCACCCACTGCTTCTTGGCAACGTGCCTCATTCGGGCCATTCGAGGTAGTTAATGTGATTTTGCCTTTGAATTGATGAGGCGGACTGCCATCCGATGGATATAGTAGCTCATTTGCAGCCATCTTGAAACGATCGCTTCCAAACTTGCGATATTCAAATGTATCGCTGTCTGCAACCAACGCAGCATGGAGCCCCCAGCTCGCAACAACAGCCCCGTATAATGTATGATGAGCATTAGTGTCGATATCGGCTCGTTCACGACCTTCGTCGAGGACCAACTGACTGCCAGGTGAGAATTTGGCAGCAAAGACTGGTATGGAGGATGGGCTGCCTCGAAGCAGTGTTGAAAGACCGGACACGGGACCAGATCGTAATCCAATAGAACTGGCCAGGGCATTCCCAGTCCCACAAGGAATCAACACGATATTGGGAGACACATTAATTGTCTTCTTGGATTTGTAGAATGTCTCAAGAATGTCGATGAGGCCCCCGTCGCCAGAAAGAAGGATGATGGTCTGAGGGACGCCATTATGAGCCCGCTCCAGGAATTTAGATTGTGCGAGCTCCACGATGGTTTGCGCCGATTGCGTTTCGTAGAGCTCGTAATTTTCTAGCTCAATATATGTAAGAAGAGGTCGTACGACATCTTGAAAGACTGTCTTGGCTTTCCCCGTTCCTGATCCAGTAGATACCACAACTTGGACGATAGGTGGTTCATCATGTCGAAGATGGCTGGGAATCTCGACCGCAAATGGCAATAGCGCTTTAGGGAGAGTTTTTATATCAATCTTTTTTAAAGCGAAGTTCTCAGAGTCATCCAGTTCAGTCTTCTGGAAGTACAGCACACTATATGTAGGTGCATGATTGGACAACACGCAAAGAATGTCGTGGAACTCAATCGAACGCTCAAAACCTGCGTGAGATGTGTATTTCAAGGTGGTTCCAGCTATATCAACTGCAGAAAGTTCCGACATCTTTGAGTAGGTAAGCGTAGTGAGAGAAAAATCAACAGTTGAGAGGGCGGGGTTTATGGCTCAGCCGGACTTTCACCCATGTCGTACTATTTACTTAGCATACTAGCAGAAATATCACTCTTTAATCACTATTACTTGACTGTGACTTTATCAAAATGAAGATAGTACTGAGTCGAATTTATTGTCAATGCATAATAGAAAGACCCTGTAGAGAGGAACTAAGATAGGTTTATGTTTTTATACTAGCAGTACTTCTATATGCAAGGACTGGCAAGAAAGCTTGGTATGCAAAGCATGGATAAAGAAACATAGGTATCAACGCATGTTCAATTTGAGATTGCTAGTAATTTTCTCGCTACAATGTTTTGCTACATCGTACATAATACAGCCTGGACAATGTAGGGGTACATAAGAAGCAGTCTCATGCAAATCTGTCAGTCACAAGTTAAAGCAAAAAAAGGCGATCATAAGTACAACGACCTCAGTCCTGAGTTGGGGAAATACCACGTGAGGGCGTCGGTGAAGTCTCACCGTGAGAGCTATGCTTGTCACTGAGGTTCACTGCAATGAAGGTCTTGGGTAGTTCCACACTACATGCAGTGATTAGTAAAAGTCCAGGGAGGTTGAGGTAGCAAACAACTTACGTGTTGAATTTCGCCTTCAACGTCTCAATTACCTCCTTCCAATCTTGATGAGCTGTCAGGCTTCGGCGTGGGGTGCAGCCGATGGCGTGCCTGGAATCAAGTTGCACGTCAAGCGGGTCGAAGGCGTGGCAACCAGGGCTGACTGAGATGCGGATGGAGTAAGAGTAGGAGTCCGATTCACTGTCCCGAGCTTCGTATAGCTCGAAGCAAATCTGAGAGAGATAATCAAGTTCTGGGATAGCACTCCTGGCAATCTTGGTCTGAATTCCACCTTCCAAGATGCAATTCAAGAGGGTGTAGATATGAGATTCCTTGGTGAAGTAGAAGAAAGACTTGGCATCCTGCGAAGCCTGCACCTCTTCTAGATCTCGAACAATCTCTTGGAGAAGGGGAAGAGATGTTAGGAGGCCGATCTCGAGTTTCTCGCTGTCGGTAATTCCGTATTCCTGAGGCGTCACATAGTCGAACAAAACCTTCGCTAGCTTGTAGAGTTCTCGGAGCTTTGAAAAGCGCTCATCCACCTTGCATTTGGAGGATTGAGAGCCAGGGAAAAGCTTGAAGTAGTGATCGTACGAATCATCTAGTGCCCGAAGGTGAGGTAGTGATTCGAGAGGGAAGATGCGTTTCCTCAGCCCAAAGCGATGAACAAACGTCTGGCTTTCCATGCGCTCTTCAGATTTGTCATTCCCAGCTTCCGGTCCAAGTTTTCCCTCCGCGCTCGTGTCTGTCTTTGCTGCGCTCTTGCTTTTCTGATCTTCATCGGAGTGGCGGGAATCGTCCTGTGGCATGAAGACCCATTCCAAAAACTGTCTGTTGTGGAGTGCATCGAATTTCATACTGTCATATAGCTCAGAAAGCTTGCTCGGGTCGACCTTCTCGGTGTCACAAAACTCTGCAAAGAGTTTTTCCCACCGCTCTTTGAAGAGTCGAGGATCTTCACCCGCGCACCAACGTCCCTGTATGCCAGATATATCAGAGGATTGGCTCGACGTCTCAGGGTCCTCGGATGGAGTCGGGGAGATGTGCGGTGAACCGTCAAGTCTCTCAAAGTTATATCGCATGACACTGCGGTGGAACTTCATGAGTTCGACTACCCTAGCAAGGACAACCGAAGGCTCTGGGATGTTCTTGTCCTTAGGCCAAGCAAACTGTGAAGGCGCAGACCCTTCTCGCAAAAGCAATTTCAGCTTTTTCTTCACTTTATCCATGACATCCTTGGCGGCATTTGAGTCGTCAAGCAAATCTTTCCGGACTTGTATCAAGTCTTCGGGGATATCCTTCTGGTCCAAAAATGAGCATGCCCATATTTGTGCTGTAAAAAAAAAAGTGTCATTAGCTTGATGCAGATACTGGCAAGATAGATAACTCACCACTGGTGCTCACTCTACGCTCTGAGCTGGTAAATATGCGAACATTATTCAACGCTTCCTTGTTCAGCAGCTTGAGATCATCCCGCATGTTCAATCCAAGATCCTGCGATTGGTAACGCGCAGCATGTGTGGGCTCGCCACCCCACTTGATCACAAGCTGTAGTTTGTCCAAAATCAAGTCATTCTCGACGGCGGAGAACCGAGAGAAGGTCGCACCTGAAATAGAATCACTTCGTGTCTGTGATTTACGCAAGTCCTCGTTTTCTGGCGTCAGTCCCTCCCCATCATTGGCCACAGGCGTAGTGGGCTCTTCACAGGGTTTGGCCTCGGGCAATGGAGTTGAACCTTCCAGTGGGCCCTGCTCTCCCATTTCTTCTGGTTTTCGTTTCCGGAACATCGGCTTTATCTGTACTTTGGTACCAGGCCAACCGCCCTTTTTCTCTAAAGATGTGCGAAGCAGTTTGAGCTTCTCCATGTCCTCCAAGCCCTTCTCCATAGCCTGCTTGACGGCATCAGAAACACTGGACAATGCAGCTTCCCCCTTAATCACTATCTCCTCCTGGTGCCCTTTCAGCAAATTCACGAAAGGTTGGCTATGGAAAGTGAACTTGAATTTTTGCTTGGGGGTCCGATCTGCGTGTCGAATCACAGCCACCATGCCCTTTAGCTTCCAAGAATGCTTGGAAGCAGGAAGGGGTGGAAGGGCTTCGTCATTAGCGTGCTGTACCGAAAGAGCCGGAGACTTCGTGTTCGAGGGACTATAGCCACGAGTAGTGGAGTGGGCGTCCCGAGAATTCAACTTGCTGAGAGCAGCACCAACATCAGTACTCTCTACCCCAGATGACGCCAGAGATGGAGTACATGACTCTGGAGCCTCGGTAGTTTTCTGGTTTTGGCCATAGAGCCTAGAAGTACTAGGAGACTTCAGCAGTGTCTTGAGGGCTTGGCGATGAGATCCTGCCGTGCTCCTTCTAGATAGGGGACCTATGTCCGGCGAGGGTGGCTCAGACGATTCTGATATCCCCTCGCATTTGCGTCTTTCTTCCAAGAAAATGTCTCTGAGAATGTTGGCACATTTATCATAATAATCATTGTTGTCTTTGACGAAGCTCCAGCCGTTGACGTCAATGACATAGCTTTTATCTCCCACACGAAGCATGTCAAAACCACAAATTCTTTGACCGAATCCATTTGAGATCTTGGATGCGATTATTGCCTCCTCCTTGCTAAGTTTTGTGATGTATCGTACTTCCTTCCCGTGGGTATTGCGCCGAACGAGGCCATCGACCACAGGAGATTTGCGCGTCTCTGCGTGACAAAAGTCTGGCCCCACGGTGTACGCTTTGACATCTTCCGCGTTGTCAACCCTGAGGAACTGTTCGTACAAATAACTTGTATCCTTCTCGGTGACGGATCGTGGAACAGTGAGATTAGGATCGTATTCTGAACTTTTGTTGCCGACCTTTCGGAATAGCCTTCTTCCACCGCCACCGTACTGCTGGTCGTTCGGAAAGTAGATGTGAATGTTGTGGTCCTCGCCATTGACAGGTTTTTCGACAAAGGGCTTTTTGAACAGTTTGCCGTCAACAATCAAGGCCTCGCCATCCTCGGACATTGAGACATTCTGGGTTTGGGGGCGCCGCCACCAATGCCACTCTCTGGGCCTTCCAGTCTCACACCAGTAAGACGATATATATGCTGGGCTAGTTCCACCGATTCTAGAACCGGACCACCATCACGGTTGACCTCCAGTCGCTTCGGGGTGGGGACCCCCATATGATCCAGGATTCTCAGACAGAGCCGCCTGTCCCACAAGACCTTTTGCATAGGCAGATCATTAACGCAGAGCGGCTTGCGAAGTTTAGCATAGGCAATGGCTTTGTCCAAGGGGAATCCATCGGAAAAGAAAGCGAGCAAGAAGTCACACACAGGCCAATTTTCGACTGCTTCGTCGAGAATGACCTTGTCTCCAAAAACTATCACCTCGAATTCGCCTTTCGATTGGAGTCGAGTCAAGATATTCTGGCTCGGTTTACTGCGTGCTTTCACATCCAAGGCACAAACTCCGATCCTCCATGGCTTAAGGGAGCCGGATTCCACTTCACTGATAGAGCTTGCAGCAGTACTGGCAGCCGTGCTTCCACTGAACCTCCTGGGTCCGTGGCTTAGGGGGCGTGCAGAGTGTCCCATTCGACCGGCGGAGCGAGGGTCAAATCCCGAATCGGCTCTTCCTGATTGGCTTTGGATCGACTTTGCGGGTGACGGAGGCTTAGGTGACACCAATGTGGGCTCGAGGATGGGCCCTGTAGGTGTCAAATCATTATTATCGGAGTCCATATCAAGTGAAGGCGACGAGTGGGTGGGTTCTGCGGGTCTCAAGGGTGCAGCATCGGCAGAGCCGTTGCTGTGCTCAGCGGCATTATCCATATGGGGGATCAATGCGCTATTGAGTTTCCGAATCAATCCAAACCAATTGAACTATTTTGAATCAATGGGAGAGGGGTGTTGAGGAAGCACAAGGGGCAATTCGGAGAGGGATTCTTGGAAGCTCCAGACTCTTTGGATTGTATTACCAAATATGATGGGGTCCCGCATTTTGACATAGGCGGAGAAGGGAACAGCCTGTTGGCTTCAAGTTTGGACTTTTCGCTCATGATAAAATCTAATGGATTGAGAAGGATACGTTAATTGTGTATTTGGTTCATCGGGCTTTCTCGTATACCACAGAGGACGCCATCAGTAGATCTAAAAGTACGTATGCCCACCCAAGTACTTACAGCGGAAGTCTTCCATACATGAGTATACTAGTTATTGATAGCATTTTAATTATGTAAAACAGTGTGAAATAAGCTAAATGATGAGTTTATCACAAAGGGTAAGACAAATTCAAAATATTCAGCAGCAACAGAAGCTGCATAGTCATACTATACCGTACTAAATCCAAGAGAGATGCTAGATATTCTCATCATGTGAAGGTAGCTTGTACCCGGGGAAAAGGTACATCACCCGCTGTGAAGGCGGTGTAGGGCTTGCAGGATTGGGCGGGGCAGAAAAAAACAGCGGGAAAAAAAAGACAAAGCTAGTGAGAGCGCCTTGGGCTGTTTAGATACCCTTCGTGATTGACTTGGTGAACAAGTCAGAACGGAATTCTGACTTGAAACATTAAGGGGTCTATTTTGACTGCTTTGAACCCTCCAACATATCCATTGTTGTCAGTGCGTTCCTCGATATCAGCATGCCTTCTTCGGCTGATAATTTCGATCTGCCTCTTGCGAAGAGGCAGAAACGAGTATCGCAAGTTAATGCTGGAACACGTGGTTCCAAAATCTTTGCTCCTTTCCGAGTAAGTTGAGAGATACATTGGAATCGCTTCGTTTCTCTGAACTGACTTCTCGCCCTAAAGACACTAGGATTGGTGTCACCAACACCCGTTCCTTTTACATCGGTGCGCCTAGGTAAATCGACCTTTCAAATCACAACCTCCGTTGGACACTCGCTGCAGACTTATGATTTGCGCCGGGGTTTGAACCTCGTCTTTCTGACTCGACCCCAAACACCGGAGATCATTACGGCAACATGTGCGTGGCAGGATAAGATATTTGCAGCTTGGGGTTATCTGCGGTCGCAGTCCCCGGGTGGAGTCTGGGTTTTCAAACGCGGCAAAAAGGTTGCAGAGCTTGAGGGCCCCGCAGACCTGAAAGGGCCCATTGAGCGCTTGGTGGTGTTTGGTTCATGGGTAGTTGGTTGCTGGACTGGTGGCCTCGAAGTTTGGAGAACGGGTTCATATGAGCACTATGCCAGTCTGCGGCCACAGTCTACTCGGGGCTCCTCTGGGGACAAGATCTACACCGGAGTGATGTGCAACATGCCGACTTATCTGAACAAGATATTTGTGGGCCGATCGGACGGAGCCGTCGATATCTGGAACCTCCGCAGTGGAAAACTTCTACACACGTTGCCCGCTTTGTCGTCAGATGCTGGGCCCGTGACCGCGATTCAGCCCACAACTGCTCTTTCACTTGTTGCCATTGCCTATAAGGGCGGTGCGTTGGCTATCCAGAATGTGAGCTCCGGTCAGCTGGTTTTGTCTCTCAAGAACGCCTCATCCCGGGGTCTCCCAGTCACATCCATCTCTTTCCGAAACGATGGGCTGGGTGCTGGTCACGATGGTCGCAGCTCAGGTGTTATGGCCACGGCGTCGAGTGGTAGCGGCGATATCACACTTTGGGACTTGAATAATGGAGGTCGCATCGCAGGCATTCTTCGTGGGGCTCATCGAGTGTCAAGCGACGAAAAGCCTATGGGCGCTAACCGTGTTGAGTTCTTGGATGGACAGCCCGTGCTCGTGTCATCGGGTGATGACAATTCTTTGAAGACTTGGATCTTCGACGAAACGCCATTTTCACCCATCCCCAGACCTCTTCATAGAAGAAATGGACACTCTGCTGCCATCAGCGCTCTCGATTTCCTGCCGACATCTTCGGATGGGTCCGAATCCGGTGGTAAGTGGCTTCTCAGTGCAAGCAAGGACTGCAGTCTATGGGGCCTCAGTCTGCGCAAAGATAGCCAGCATACCGAGATCTCGCAGGGTAGCTTGGAGCGCAAGGCTAAGAAGACGGGGCCATCCAAAATCTCAAACACAGAGGATCTCAAAGCTCCCGAGGTTACATGCATTGCCTGCAGCCTCAACCGCGATGGCGGGATGGGAGTCACCACTTCCGGTCCGATCTGGTCGAACCCCAAGGTTACAAACGCGGACGCCTCCAATGCCACCGGCTGGGAAAGCGTGGTCACTGGTCATCGGGGTGACAAGTTCGCACGTACTTGGTTCTGGGGCAAGAAGAGAGCAGGTCGATGGGCGTTTGCAACCAGTGATGGAACAGAAGTCAAGGTGCGCAGGCTCTTAAATATGATAAAGCAATTGTTCTTTTTTTGCTAATATTCTTTTACAGAGTGTGACAGTCTCGCAATGTGGAACTTTCGCTGTTATTGGATCAGCCGGAGGTTCTATCGATATGTTCAACATGCAATCAGGTCAGCACCGACAAAGCTTCCCAGCTCGCCCCCCAGCTTCCCGTGGCACCAAATCCAATGCCCAGGCCGCGGCCGCTGCGGCTTACAAACACACCAAAGCTGTGACTGGCTTGATGATTGACAGCTTGAACCGTACCGTTGTCAGCTGTGGCCTGGATGGCAAAGTCAAGGTACACTCCAGTATCCCCTCTTTCTTATATGGACTCACAAGTTGACCTTTTTTGTAATATAGTTTTGGGATCTCCTCTCTGGAAAATTCCTTGACGAACTAGACTGGCACCCCATGGCTGCCATTACTGGACTTCGTTACAATAAGGCGAGCGAATTGATCGCCTTCAGCTGTGATGACCTCTCGATCCGTGTGATTGACCTTGAGACTAGAAAGCTGGTTCGTGAATTCTGGGGATGTGTGGGTCAAGTCAACGATTTCATTTTCTCAAATGATGGACGATGGATTGTTGCTGCCTCCATGGACTCGGTGGTACGCGTATGGGATATGCCCACTGGGCATCTAATTGACATTTTCCGGGTCTCAAGCACATGTGTCGCTCTGGCCATGTCTTCAACGGGTGAATTTCTTGCCACCGCACACGCCGGTAGCATTGGCATCAGTCTTTGGAGCAATCGCAGCCTCTTTATGCCTGTGTCGACTAAGAATCTGGACGAGAACATTATTGAGAATGTTGGACTCCCAGCGACGTCAGGAGAAGGCGGTGCTGGCCTTATTGAAGCTGCATTTGCGGATACTACCGAGCAAGATGAGGCAGAGGGCCCAGTACTGGCGACGGAACAACTACAACACGACATGATGACTCTCAGTCTTGTCCCCAAAAGCAGATGGCAGTCATTGATTCACCTAGACACTATTCGGGTATGTCTTTCTTCCTGCACATGTGCAATCCTCTAGCTAACAGTTCAACAGGAACGTAATCGCCCCAAAGAAGCCCCTAAGGCTCCCGAGAAGGCTCCGTTCTTCCTTCCTTCTCTCCTCGGCTCCAGTGGGCCTGAGGCCGCCAGCGAAATTCCCGGCACCGAGGACGATGCTGCATTGCTGGCCAAAACTGCCGAAGCCGAAAGGATGCGGATTGCCAAGTTGCAAAATGGTGGAATCCCTAATGCCCCTCAATCTATTTTCACTCGATCATTGGCATCTGGTCATGATTGCGGTGATTATAGCTCATTTATCGACCATCTCAAGACCTTATCTCCGGCTAAAGCAGATCTCGAGATCCGTTCATTGGATCCTCGGGTAAGTGACGGACACTCTGAGTTGTCCGACTTCGTTGTTGCCCTGACCGCTCGCCTGAAGTCCAAGAGAGACTTCGAGCTTGTCAATGCTTGGATGGCAGTCTTTTTGAAAATTCACGCCGACACTGTGAGTCTCAGCTCTACTCAGGACGAGCCTCAGTATCGTGTATTGCAAGATGCTTTATCAACTTGGTCTGCTGAGCAGCAGCGGGAAGGAAAGCGCCTGGCTGAGCTGGTGGGCTACTGTCGCGGAGTGGTTGGATTCTTGCGATCTGCCCGGTAATTTGAAATGCACAGAGCTGTACTTGGATAAATATTTCTCGAGGCATAGAGTGCCTTTTGTTTTCTTTGTTATCTATCATGCTTGTTACGTTGATTCTATATATGTGCATTTGTTTTACAATCCAACCAACGATGTAGGAAACTTTAAAGGCTCTGAGCATTCTAATTTTGTGTCTACTTCCGTTCTCATCACCTTTAAAGTCTATACATATCTCATTTCGAGTCTAAAAACGGATGGGATCAATATCTAAAGCCCCGACGCCTCAGCCCTGACTAATACAAAAAATTTCCAAGGTTGGGCCTAAAAAAAAAAAAAACAGCCCACAACCAGAAGGGTCCTTACACGACATTGGCTATGGGGATCCCTCATCTAACCAGGCATCTGCTTCCATATGCTGAGAATGTCTTGTTAGATGGAAGGGAGATCGATTCAGAACTTCCGCGAGTTGAAGCCGTTGTGATCGACGGGCCCAGTCTAGTTTATCATATCTACCGTCGACTCTTGAGTTGGATGGATCCAAGCAGTGATGTCCTTGACTACCAGCCAACCTGCGATGAAATCAGCCGTGGAGTGAGCAGCTTCCTTCTCCAACTGACCAGACTGGGGGTCAAAATGTAAGCCCTCAACTAGTCTTCAGCACAACTATCCTCTGATTAAGCATTTTCCCTCTTCTCTCTCTTCAGACATAAGATTTGCTTCGATGGTGCCTTGCCCGTCTCCAAGCGAGAAATTCGCTTTTCCAGGATTGAAAAGTTACGACATCGGCTGGAGTTGGCTCGCCGAAACCTGTCTTTGCCTGTAACGCCTAAATGTCGCGATGTGATGCCGACTGAACGAGGGCAGGTTTGGTGCAGTCGAGGCTTGCCTCAGCGACGAAAAGGCCTTCCAGAGAATCCTTTCATGGTATCCGCCGTCTTTGAAGACTTGCGGAACAGATGGAATAGGGAACAGATCCGGAAAGAGGTTGACGATGATATCTGCTGCCTCGCCGATACTGACTACCCCTGGGCGGAAATCACCGTCATGGTACCAGGAGAAGCAGATGTCGAGTGCGCTAGCGTGGCAAAACTTACTGGCTGTGCAGTGTTGACAGATGATTCGGATCTCCTGCTACACGATCTTGGCCAGCATGGCGCGGTCTTATTTCTAGACTCGGTTCAAACATCCACGGGCGTATGGGATCCAGCTGAGCCTGATATTCGCGGACTGAGAATCTGTCCCCATTCACTCTCCGGTCGATTGGGTATCTCAAGCGTTCAGTGGTTTGCTTACGAATTGCAAAGAAATGTTCACATGAGTTTTGCTGAACTTACCCGGATATCCAAGGAGAGCAGTCAGGCGACTGAGCTTTCCTCTGAATATCTGGAGTTTCTTCGAGAGTATCAACACGAGACCACAGATAATGAGGTGGTACATGGAGCAAGGCAGTCCTTACAACCGTTAGACCCGAGGGTGTCGGAGTTATTTTGGCAGTATGAGCTCCCTAGTATCTACTGTTTGGGTGAACAGCCGCACGTCTATCTCGGTATTCTGAACGAAGACTCTTCCAGGCGATGTGCCTGGGAACAAGGTCGAACATACAGATCCCTTGGCTACTCGCTTTTCAATCTTTCCCGTCCCGTTACCAATCGCTTCGCGGCTGTACATGAATTTGTCCGCAGAGGTGGAAGGATTGTGGCCGAGGAAATCACTTTAAGCGGAACAAAGACTGTGGCCTCCGACATGGATCTCGTCCGAAGACGTCTTGCCACAGCACATGCTGCCTTTGACGAAGGTCTGTCAGCGGAGAGCTTCTGGTTTTTGTTTGCTCTTTCCGATATTTATCGCGATGGGGCCGGCACAACCACCATTCCAAGTGGGAAGGAATTGGAAAGCTTCCTTACAAAGGGATATATGGCGCAAAGTACCAAATGGACGGACATTCACCTTCTTGCTCAGATTCAAGCTGCACTCTACTCTTTACGGATACTGAAGCAGCTTCTCGATATCGCAGCCTCCGGTGATGACTTAAATGAATCCAGCTCACTACTCGCGGATTTACCTCCACTGCACATAATGATGTCGCGACAGAAAATGATTCAGAGCTTTGCCAACACCCGTCTTGTGAGGCATGCGGTTCGTCAAATGATAGAAACATATGGTTAAAGATACGAATATACATTGGAAGCCAACGCACTATGAGCTCTATACATTAAAGACCACATGACTCCAAAGCCTAAAATGGCTATGATCAGCTAAAGATTGGACTGAACATACATTCGTCTTTGTAGATTACAAGCACATTTGCATTGGCAGTCGCTATAATGGAGAAGACATAAATGTGCCACTGTATAACCTTGCCTGAGAAGCCCCGGGTCCTTCAAATGATTTATTCCATTGGCACATAGGTTTCAAGTATCAGAACCAGCCCTGGGAGGAGCGATGCTGCTGGTTCTCGGTGCAGTCGTTTTGTTTGATCGAATACAGTCGGTTGACAGCATAATTTGGTCCTGCGGTCTTGCGTATTGTAGTGGCTTGCCTGGTATCTGAAGGCGAAAATTGTTTGCTATACTTTTTTACAACTTTCTCGTAAAGAAAGAAACGGCGATTTTTGTGGGTATCATGTGGATGGTCGTAATGGCGACAGACGAACGCAAAGATAAATCGTTCAAGTCACTCATTTTTCGGGGGCATCGGGAAGTCGTTCAATCACATATTTACCACGAGCGACACTCATAATGGGTGCTCCAGGAATTTTGCTATTATGGAGGTTAGAATTTGCCTGGTAAAGCGAAAATGGCATTGAGATGTTAGCAACATACCGAATGCGTCTCTTGAGATCACGATCGTTTGTGGCGATAATGTAAACACGGTGCTTGATGACACGATCGACCAGGCAGTCATCGGCATAGGTTCCCTTGTGATCACACTTGACTCGCTCGAATCGGGGGTCCTTGGCTACACGCAAGGCAAGTCGGTATTTGGGGCCAAGCTTCTCCAACTCGGCAAGTACACAATCCGTGACGATAGGAATACATTTGGCGTACAAACAATCGAGCATTGTTGGAATAACCTCGAGTTTGTGCTGAATGGTGTGGGAGATAAAATTGGTATCGACCAGCACAGAGTATGGGGGAGCAAGGGCCGTGTTGAACTGGAAGAACATCGATGAAGGAGCTTGGGGGCTAGAACCGTACTTGTCAATGTGATTCTAACAACAGTATTATATTGGGTACTTACGCCTCTCTGACGAGGTCGTCCTTCTTTGCCGCCTCTTTGCCTTTCTCTGTCTTGTCTTGGTTTTGCTTCCTATAAGTGACTGTTAGCAAGTCGCAACACAACTTCGTTTCGTGATTGGGACGAACAGGCGATTGTCGCGCATAGAAATGGCTCTCTTGGCCAGCGCATACTTGCGAGTCCTTTTTTGAACTCCCATGGTGATAATACGTGGATGGTGATAGTAGTGAGGAAGAGGTTTTTTTTCTCTTTTCTTATCGGGGAAATCGATCTCGGGTTCGGGATGACTAATCATGTCGATGGCCCCCGCTTGTCACCTACAGGGCCCCCGTAGACAAACTTGAAGGAACCTCTTTTCTTCAAAACACTCTTGTACTCAGCAACACACCGTCAAACGCCCATGATGTCCAACTCTGATGCAGACTTCGATATGGCGAAGGTAGGTCACCCTATTTCGGCGTTCGCAAGCACCATCAAGTTCCCTAGACTATGTTGCTAAGGCAATCCCCTCTACGAACCGACCCAAGGCTGGGCAGCTAACTCATGAAATAGATACTCGCAGATCTTGCAAAGTACGCGAGCCGGCATTCATCTTACATAAATGATTCCATGATATTGACATATATTTAGGGGTGAAATGACTGCCTCGGCCCTGGAAAATCACCTCGACACAATTGAAAGTCAAGTTAACGAACTCTTGGCGTCTTTCGAAAACCAGGGTACTGCTGTAGCAGAGGCTACATCAGTCGATGAGACAAAATTGGGTCAAACGGGCACAGATCAGATTAGGGATCAAAAGGCAGAACCGTCAAATAGTCCACCCAAGTGATATTGGCCATCGGATCCCTTCTCTACAACCCCGACCTCTGTGATAATCCCATCTATCAGACTCGCAGGAGTAATGTCAAATGCTGGGTTCCAGACATTGATCCCTGGCGCGGCAATTTGCACGGTCTCGATCGTAATCTGGTCAGTGGTCTCAGACCCTCCAGAAGGACCTTTGATGCTGGTCACCTCGGATGCGGCACGTTGCTCAATGACGATATCCTTGCCTGACTTTGTGGCCATATCGATGGTTGTCAGTGGTGCTGCAACGAGGAACTTGACACCATGGTACTTTGCCAAGACAGCCAGGGCATATGTGCCGATTTTGTTCGCTGTGTCACCGTTGGCTGCTACCCTGTCCGCTCCCACCACAATTGCATTCACTCCGACTTTGGTATTTGCGAGCAAAGCGGCTGCCATAGAATCCGTGATGAGTGTAGCTGGAATTTTATCGTGAACCAACTCGAAGGCTGTAAGGCGAGATCCCTGGTTGTAGGGCCTAGTTTCCGTGCAATAAGCGTGACGTAGGATATTCTTCGAAGCCAGCGAACGAACCACGCCCAATGCTGTGCCATATCCAGAAGTGGCGAGGGAGCTAGAGATTCAGTATTAGTGACAAATACAATGAATAACGGATAGCGCAGTGGATCGGCCCTACCCAGTGTTGCAGTGAGTCAACACGGCAACTTCAGAACTTCCTGGCTTAGCTGCGTGAGTGGCGATCCATTCTGCGCCATTGTGCCCAATTCTCTTGTTATCCTCGAGATCTTTTCCCATCATATCCTCTGCTCCCCGAATAAACGCGGTTGCGACGTCGCGGCCAGTAGAGCCCGATGCTTTCGTGCGGTTGGTCACTAAAGCCTCCAGCTTGCGCGCAGCATCGGCGAGATTGACGGCAGTTGGCCTGCTCGTCACCAGATAGGCAAGCTTCTCTGTGATATATTGGCACACCTCTTCTGGTGATTGTGAAAGCTTGTCGCTATCCACCGCAGTGGTTAGTTCCGCGGCGAGGGCAAGCATTGCTACAATAGCAATAGCAGGTGCCCCTCGGACTTTCATATCTTTGATAGCGTGCCACCCATCTTCTGTAGTCCGAATGGGAATGTATTTTTCGACAAATGGAAGCTGTAACTGATCCAGGATCTCAAGGTTGCCCTTGCTGAACTTGATTGCCTGCAACATCCTGGTAAATAACGATCGAAATTTCTAAAAACTTAGATGAAGCGCAAGAAAAGAAGAACCTTAAAAAGTGCCGCGGAGACCCCTCGGCGGGGGCTCTCTGGGCACCCGGGAAAGCTTACTTAATCAAGGCCCTGGGCCCCAGGAGTACATTGGATATACAGTCTTCCCAGGAACGTACCTCCAACATATACTGGCAAGGTAACAATCCAGATCAGGGTCAGATTTCATGTATTACTGTGCGAATATACTTTGCACCAATTAAAACAGAGCTCAATGGCACATCGCTGCATCACCAGAAAACATGACCAAGCTCCCTGGGCAACAAATGATGAGCCCATGGTCATGGGCACCGATTTTGAGCACAATAAAAAGCAGGGGAAAGAAAACCCCCTCAGGTACGCAGCCTTGATGACCCCAGGCTCGAAGGTCTGGTCAACTGCGTCATAAGAAGAGTTGTTCACCACCTAGGCTTGTATTCTGTCCTCCTAGCTAGAAGATTCCAAATCATTGCGATAGTACTCAAATCGTGTCTTTCTTATCCACATGCATGTTGTCATAGATGGGCCAAATCGCTGATTTCGTACAGTGTATTTTCGGATTAACTGGAAGAGATGTAGAGTACTATAGGTTTAGTTAGAAAGCTATCGCGCCAGTCGTAGGACGAGAAGAGAAGAGAGTATCGACGAACCGTTATTTCCGCGCACGAAAGCATCCCCGTAGTTTCGTCGTAGTTTTCCGTTCACGTATTCCTCGGTCTTTTCGAGGGCAATGTTCATGTAGCCATCAACTGATTGCAATTCGCCTATATGTGCATTAGAATTGAATTGAACAGAAATTGATAGAAGATCACATACCCTTGTATACCACTCCCGAGTTCAGCTTCACGATCACAGGCGCACCGATGATCTCACTCAAAAAGACAGAAGGGTCTTTCCCTTCGGAGGTTGGGGCGTTCTCCATATTGCTACTGTGGTCTAACATTGACCAAATTTTAGCCAGGGCAAAGTCCAAGGGAGGACAATGGGGGCTATACCTGGATGAGTTCTGTTTTGAAGCAGGCGGAGGGACGAAGCATTCGAAAGTGAGAGACCAGGAAGGCGGTGAGGGTGGTCGAACTTATCGCAAGCGGGGCGGGATCTGCTGATAAGTTTTCCTAGGGTCCGACACCGCATTGTATTCTGCCGATACTGCCAGTCATAAAATAGTATTCTTTCGTTGAACAACACTCAATGTATTGAATTGGTTAAGATTTCAAAAAGTAAGCTATAGCTATCAAAGGTCACTTTCTAGGAATCAAGAGGAGAGGTCTCATATATTGTCAAATATCTACTAGTCAGAAAGTACCCTGGTGTCGTTTTAGTAGGCGGTCAACATGACGGTGTCTCACACGAGGTTCCACTATACCCATCCCAAGTCTGGAAAGATATGATGCATATTCCCTTCACCTTGACTGCCAATTGTTTGGATCATGCCTAGGCCATGTTGCAATTCTTACTCTTCCACTAACATATCGCTGATTATAATCAGTACCCCTTGAGCCATCTCTAAAGTACATTCTGTCATCTTATCATACTGCATTTTTTGACTTGACCAATTTCGACCCTGAGAGTCATGAGCTTTTTCAAGAAGCCCACGTGGGCAATCAATAATACGGGGGAAACTGGCAGTGATTTTTATCGACGCTCAGAACAGACATACTCTGACATCATTGCTGCGAACCGTGAAGCACACCAGAAGCAGCCGAAAGCACCAGAACCCTTAGAAGATACTGGAGACGCTGAAGATACCGAAGACACAAAACGAAAGAAACGTCCTCGACGTTCTGAAGAGAAGGGTAAAGGGCGCGCTGATAGCAGTCCAGTGCGGAATGTGACACGCGAGATTGATAGCGTTAGAATTGCGCTACCAGAGCCCCAAGAGCTTTCGGGTTCCTCGCATAATTCCTCACCCGAGTCGACCAAATCAGTCAAACAACGCGAGACAATCCAAATACGCAGCTCAGAAAACCGCGTGTCTCATTCACCGCAGAAAGGCAGCGGTTCAGAATCACTAGGTGCTCCACCGGTTCAACCGGTGATTGTCCTGGCAGATGACTCGGAAGCTCGAAGCCCTCCACCTCTCGAAGCTCCTCAGCCTATTCAACCGCCGAAAGCTCCAGCGGATGATCCAGTCGTAAAAATCATGATATCCTCTGAAATTGCAAACACCAAACCTTTACTTGTCCATCGAAAGATGTCACAGCGGCTAAGAGATGTGCGGCTGGCATGGTGCAATCGCCAAAATTTCGACCCGCATATACAATCATCGATCTACCTCACCTGGAAGGGTCGGCGTCTATTCGACGTGACAACCTGCAGGAGTCTAGGCATAAATACCGGGAAGAACTCTGGGAGAATCTTTGGCATTGATGATGATGAGACTGCAGGTCCAGAGCTACGCATACATATGGAAGCAGTTTCCGATCTACCTCTTCCGGTCAATCAGCCAGCTACACCACCTGATGATGAAAAGCCTCCTACAGTATCGCAACCCCCAGAAGATGACCAGGGTGAGCCAATGAAACTTGTTCTGAGGAGTCTTGGATACGACGATTTCAGACTTAAAGCAAGACAAAAGACCGTTATTTCGCGACTCATATCTGCTTTTCGAGATAAGCAGAAGATTCCTGCGGACCGAGATATCTTCCTCCTGTTTGATGGAGACAAACTTGACCCCGACTCATGTCTAGGCGACTATGACATTGACGATCTAGATCTGCTGGATGTCCAGATCAAATAATCCAACTTGAAGGATCCGAAATGAATCATAGCTAATCAAGGCTAATCAAAACTAATCGAGACTTCCAATTGGAACTAGGCTATTTCTGTAAAATAATGTATACAAGATTTCCAAGTCCACAATGTCGGGCTCACAGTCCGGGTATCCATATCGATCACATGATATCTGATAAGCCGTGGGGCTCTTATTTTTTTCTCCCATCGGAGAGGCCACCGACGTTCATTATCCTCTAAATTGATCTCCTATCTAGACCCAATCAATTTCTACATATCCGAAAAAAGCTCCCAAAAACCTCGCATCAACGATCTATCAGCAATAACCCCACCAAAGCCCGCCACAATGAAAGTGATCACCGCCAACTTCGTGACATGCGCCGTGAAGGACTGCAAGACATCACCGGCCTCATTCCCATTACATTTCCAGGATGCCGAGCTAGAGCAACAAGAACTAGATTTCCAACCCGAATTCATCCGCAACATCCTCCCCCGAATTGACTGGCAAGCGCTGCGCACCATTTCCAACGAGGTAATAGACATCCATCCCCGAGTTCATCCAAACCCGGCCGACAATCAGAATCCCAATTACAGTTAAGCTGACTCTTGTGCGATTCCAGCTTGGATTCCCCGGTCTTCCGGACTCGAAGCCCGAGGAAGAGGCTCTCAACAACGAGCAGACATTGAAGGACCTGCACCGGTTGCTACTTGAGACGCACGTCACAGAAGGAAAATTGACCTGCGGGAACTGCGGTCATTCATATATGATTAAGGAGGGAATTGCGAACTTCCTTCTCCCAAGCCACCTTGGTGAGTAATATAGTCTTTCTCTTTTTTTGGCCATATTCATTTTGCTAATATCTCTCCCAGTCTGAACAACCCAATCCCCACATGAAACCCAAATTGCTTCGCAAATCGATACCCCAGGGCTAGGAACCGGTCTTTGAGAATCAGGCTCTCTCCTCCATTTCCTTTCCTTTTCTCAAAAGAGGACCCTATGCAGTGGCACCAAGGTTATCAGATATCCGAGTCGAGTTCTCCTGGGATTTGACACATCTACGCTCTCACATTGCTTTCTAAGAGGACTTTTGCTTCAGTGCCTTGACTTGAAACAGAGAACAGGCGAAATTCTTTTGAAATTGGTATATTGTACAAGAGAGTTTGTAGTTTATGAAATCACGATTGCCATTGATAAATGCGTCAATGCTCCCACCCTGAAAACGCCGGCCCGATACAACGCCACCCAGTAGATGGGAGTCAATATGCCTCCCGAGGATTTCGCTAGATAGGTCCTCTCAATTGAGAAATCCCTTGCAGCCCGTCGAGCCACAGAGACAGGGAATACGGTCATCGCTGTCCCACTCTCGTTCGAATTTGTAGTCGTACGTCAGCTCCTCATCTAATAGATTTGGTTAGCACATTTGTTTTCTCCTGAAGCGAGCGCATTTCACAAACCTCTTTCGATATCCCTAAGCGCATAAATCACAATGCGTTTACTGCCATCCACCTTGATGATCTTAGCGGTGCAGTTAGGTGTACAGCTGTGATTGATGAATCGCGCAATTCCTCCTCTCTTTGTGGCATCGATGACGGTGTTCTCGTCGATTCGGAAAAGATAACTGCTACCGATCCCGCTCTTCAGGTATCGTCTTTCTCTCATATCGGCCACCTGCTGACGCACTTTCTCTCCGACATACTCAATGATCATGTCATTAGCAGTGATGTTTTCCTCGGCATACAGACCCCAGTTGTGAATGGCAGAGCGAGCGAAGCGTACAGGCTTCTTGCGTTTCTTAAGCTGGTTGAATCGAAGAACGTCTCCTTCGCCACTCGCAGTAGGAAGGGCCTGCTTTTGAGCATTGATGTCTGCAATGAGCCGGCGGTTGTTGACTCGTGTGGACCGGGATGTTGATTTTGATATTGTTTTGGCGGCTGCAATTCTGGCAGCTTCTGCTGCTGCTGCCTGAGGGTCTGCCTTAGCATTCGCCTCGCGCTCCTCACGAGCTTTCTGAACCTTGATCCGATGGGGCAGGTATTTGGATTTTTCTGCTTCCATAATCCTTTTTCGACCTTCTGTCCGCGCAGCTCCGGTGGAGTTTTGCACATAATAGCCAGGGATACTGATAGCGTCCTGGGTTGTGCCAGTTTCCAGGCCATTGAGAGCTTTGATCTCTTTTTGTTTCCAACCCCATGCAGCAAGATTTCGAATAATTGATTCTGACTGATCCAGTAGAACTTCTCGCAAAAACTGCAGGTCCTCGTCGTCCTTGACCAGGTTTTGCCAACCATCCAGATCGAGCACAATATTTTCATCATCTTCCACCGTTGCGCGGGGCTCATCCTTGGAAAAGCCCCATTCAATCTCTGTTTTCGGCTCATCAGTCGGTTCGGCCTTGCACGTTTCGCTGATCGAGAGGTCATCACCCTCGAGATGTGTGTGAGAGACAAGCTCACTAACATGGTCTGCGGGTTGGTCTTGCGTTGGTAATTTGTCGCCATCATCTGCGAGAACATCGCTGATAACCGCAGGCGTTTCCAGGTCCTTAGTTGTACCCTCGTGTCCATCTGCTTCCGAGTCAATCCCAAAGAGCTCATCCTCCTGTCGCTGTCGCTTTCGTGCTTCGTCATCTTCGGTCAATCGCTTCCTCTTGCCCGATGTGGGAGACAACACAAGTTCATGAGAGAGATCGCCGGTTTCAACTGTGGCATCCAAATCGTCCACAGCTCCAGCGCCACGCCCTTCGCTCTCCCGAGATGATTCCAAATCGTCTGACTGGTATCCTCCGTCCTCCGATGACGTTGAACTTGCGCGACTAGGGGGTCGGCTCTCTCGTTCGTCGACATCTCTGGCAGCAGGAGTGCGCTGTTCGTCATCCGAATCCTCATCATCGTGCAACTGCTGTAAGCGATGATACAAGGGGCGGACTTCTTTCTTTCGTAGTGGTTGCCTGCGCCGTTCGTCGAGGAAGGCAGCACCCGCATGGTCAAGGCCATGGGCTTTCCGGATACGAGGAAGAGCAAGAATATTCAGACTTGATGATCTGAGAGGATCTCGGCCAGCAGACATTTCGCCTCGAGAGCCAGGGGTGCTGTCGATTTGGAAAACAGACCGTTTTGTACCTTCGGGGTCCGAAATTCCCAGCTTTTCCCTTTTGGCCGCATGCTTACTCGGTTCCAAATAGTCGTAAAGAGCCGGGGCAGCTATGCGCGACTTCACATCCTCGAGAAGCTTGTCCCTCAGATCGCGAATGATGATAGACAATACCTCCCGGCATGGATCCAAATCAAGTGCCCGCTGCTTTTTCTCTTCCTCGATATCCAAGTCGGCCTCTTTCCTCGTCCGATCCTTTGCGGCCTTGTCTCGCCGTTCGGCGCGGAGGCGTTCAGGGCTGGGGCTTCGCTCGTAGTTCGGGTTACCGTAAGGTTGACTCTCCATGTTCATGATATAGGTGAACAAGGGTTGCATATGGCATAGTCGGTAGCAGCGTTCGGTTTCCTCCTCACCCCGGCGCGAATTCTCGAAGATGATATAGTAGCCGGTTTTGTCACAACGAATATGTTTGTATGCAAAGAGTCTGAGTCTTTTCCTCAAGTGAGGAACCGTTGTACTAAGGACCGGGACGTAACAGTGCGCAATGAAAATGTATGGATCGCGTTTGATCTGACTCAAGATAGCAGTTTCTTCGACCAATGACTGCACAACAGGAGATCGGACACCGGCCCTAGGGCCCTCTGGAATAACGACCCCCGGCCGTAAAGATGACCTGCCTGAGGGACCCTTGGGCGCCGTCGGTGGTGGTTCGCTTTTCTTGATCTGGACATCGGGTCTCGGTTCACTTGGAGGCGGAAGTGGAAGGGTACTCTTGGATGCCAGTCGCTGGGACTCCACTGCTTTCGCGGCCATGCGGTCTGACACAATCCCGTCGCGATCCAGCTCGACCCGAATCCTGCGGGTGCCAATGCGTTGTTCTTTCTTGCATTCAAAGTATGCACGTCGCGCCGCGCTAGAGGCTGATGCTGGGCCATTTCCTCGGGCTGAGGTGCTATCTTTGTATTTAATGGAGCAGATCCCCAGAAATCGGCCGGTGATGGGATCTGTGCGGTTCTTGATTTCGGCCACATCTCCAAAGCTCGAGAAAAGCGCGCTGATCGGGGCGATGGGAGTCAAAGGATCGAACCCCGTTACCACAACTTGGATCGGAGGCCCGGGACCAATACTCGTTGCCACATCGTATGACCAAGGCTTCAAATTGTAAGGCGCGGGCCGGTATTTTGTCTTTTGCTTGCAGCCGGATCCACGAGTATAATTGGCGATCGCACGACGCGGATCGGGTGGCGCATCTGTTTGGCCATCATTCACGATGTCCACATACTCAAGCTTTTTCCGTTTTTCCTTCGACGAGGTCCGTTTGTCGAGATCGGGGTCATACACAACCTTGCACCCTCTCACGCGGATCTCGAGGTGTCGGGTTTGCGACTGAGGGGTAGGAGGGGTGTGGATTGGTGTGATGGTAGATTTGGTGTTTTCATGAGTCGGCCTGGAAGAAGTACCCGGAGAAGCTCCACCTGCTATCTTTTGCTGTGTTGGACTAGTCACTTTGCAAGGGGGCGATGATTCCGCAGTGGTGAGCGGTGTCAGTGTATCAATTTGTGATGGGATGGGATTTGCCGTGGGTGGAGGTAGCCCAGTCCTATCCTCCACGCTTTTCGCCTTGGCGGAAATGGTCAATTCAAGCTCGTTAGGGGCCGACGGGCTGCGAGCTCCCCCTTCGTCTGTACTGGGGTTGAGAGGCGTCTCAATGGTTGTGGGCGCGCTCGAGGTAAGAGACACTGGACAATCCGAGATCCTTTCAGAAATTTGTTCACCCTCGACATGTAATTTCCGTCGTTCCTGCGCTGTTTTGAAGCGCTTCTGTTGAAGGACTGATGGGGCGGTGGGGAAAAAGTCTGCAAAGCCAGCCGAGGCGCGTGACATGGTGAGAGGTTGGCTACACGCCAGAGACCGTGGCGCGATCAGAAGGCAGCATCCTTGACAGCAGTGATTCGGCTATTGCGGACACATGCGACCGAGAAGGTCCCGGCACGGCAGTATTGAAAAAATTAAGATGAAGGGGCTCGGTGTGTTAAAGAGATGAGAAGACAAAAGAAATCGGAAGAAAAAGGCTGAAAAGCGATATCCAGGAGCTGGAGGTGTCGTTACGCGCAAATCAAGAGTTTGCAGGAGGCTAAGACGCGATGGAGCGGAAGGAAGTGGAATGGTGGGGACGAAGTTTGAACTTCACGCTTTCAAGGGATAACTCCTATAAAGAAGGAAAAGGGAATTGCGTACAGCGAAGAATTAGACAATTAAGGTAATGATGAAGTTCAAGTTCAACCTTGGAAGTTCCCCGGGTTCAGTAACATTGAATGATTCAGCAAGGCCTTTTCTTTTTTTTTTTTTTTTTTTTTTTTTCCCTCAAAAGAACTTGAATGACCTCACCGCGACTTAATCGTTCAATACAAGAACACCTACAATTGAGGTACCTGACAAGTATCTTTTGGGCACTCATTGGAAATAAATTTGATCTTGTATTAGTTTATCGTTAAGAAGCGATTGTTGGTAGGTGGCCTTGGGATTGATCTCGTCATTGGATTCTATCAGGTTATACGAAAGCACAAAGCCTGAAATCTATGCATTTGGTGTGGTCCAGTATACTCCGTACAACATACAACATTTGAAGATGCACAGAATAGGATATATGTGGAATATTTATTCGTGCAAGTCCGACAAGTATCCGTGGATGGAACAATCAGTATATTCCAGCTTACTAGATAACTAGTCAATCATACTTACTCCGTACATAAGGTAGCATAGCCCTCTTCTCTTATCGAAGGCTGAAATGAGGCTGATATATATATATGCGAAGTACGGAGTAGAGAAATTAACCATAGACCTCAGCTTATCCACTGAGGCGTACAATAAGGGTAGTTTTCACGAGAGTACCAAAGATAGGCAAGATATACGGACAAATGACCAATAATACACAAGGCCAGTTATCGAGTCCAGGGGCATAAGAACCCATAGGTTAAAAAAATATAAGTGCAGAAGCGTGGAACGTCTGTCGAACCTTTCCCAAGGTTCCTTTTCAGGGGATCCTCCGTGCACTAAGGAATGTGCCGGGCCACTAGGTATAATTATAGATTCTCCCCCGTACATCATGTTTTTCTGGACTTCCAAGAGCTTCGCCTCGTTTTTGTTTCTCCGATTTAGCGTGAATCATCCAACTGAATCGGAATCATATGGCAATATCAATTTGAAGATCATATATACCAACCAGGTTACAAGTTGACATTTGAAAAGACTATAGATGGTTACTATACTCGTAGAGACCATTGGGATTATAAGTAGTGGTCATGCTATTTGATATATAAAGTATTTGTGTGCCAAGTGAGACAATTCCCCTGGGAACCAAAATGGTCCGAGCACCTCCCTCATTGGATCAAAGCTTGCAGAAAGAGCTAATAATAATCCGCCCCTCCCCCTACTCTTTGCCCCCCCTCTATAAATACGAAACACCTGTACCCAGCTTGTTTTCAATCACTTTCCTACTTTCTTTTAATCCTTCCCTCTGCAATCCATCCTCAAATACCCATTGTCTTTTTTTTTCAGTCACTTTTCTTTTTTTTTCGCCCATCATGTGGTAGGTTTTCTACTTTCCTCAATGAGGTGATATACTCACAGTTTGTTTAGTGGAATTTTCGGATACATCAACTATCTGGTCGAGAAGGACCGCAAATTCATCATTGACACACTGCTAAATGGTGAGTGATACAACGTTCTTCCTTGACAGCCTTTGCAACTTTCCGCTCACCACTATTTTTCCCCCCAGGCCTCTCGAGATTGGAGTACCGTGGCTACGACTCGGCTGGTATGGCCGTGGATGGCGACAAGAAGAATGAAGTCTGTGCATTCAAGGAAGTTGGCAAGGTGGCCAAGTTGAAGGAACTCATTGAGCAGAGCTCAGAGGACATGACCAAGACCTTCGAGTCCCACGCCGGTATCTCTCACACCCGTTGGGCTACCCACGGCACTCCCTCCCGCCAGAACTGCCACCCCCACCGGTAAGTTCCCGAAAATCCATGGATATTGATTGGATTGTGGAGCTAATTGCATCGTTGATAGTTCTGATCCCAACTGGGAGTTCTCCGTGGTCCACAACGGTATCATCACCAACTATAAGGAATTGAAGGCTCTGCTCGAGAGCAAGGGCTTCCGTTTCGAGACTGAGACCGATACTGAGTGCATTGCCAAGCTTGCCAAATACCTTTACGACCAACACCCCGACATTGAATTCACAGTCCTGGCCAAGGCAGTCATCAAAGAGCTTGAGGGTGCCTTTGGTTTGCTGCTCAAGTCTGTCCACTACCCCCATGAGGTCATTGCTGCCCGTAAGGGTTCGCCCCTGGTCGTCGGTGTGAAGACCTCCAAGAAGATGAAGGTGGATTTCGTGGATGTTGAATATTCAGAGGATGGTGTCCTTTCAGCGGAGCAGGCCTCCCAGAATGCGGCTGCCAAGAAGTCTGCCACAAGCCTCCTTGCCCCTCCTGACAAGTCGCTGTTGCACCGCTCCCAGTCTCGGGCATTCCTCTCCGACGATGGCATTCCCCAGCCCGTCGAGTTCTTCCTGTCCTCTGACCCATCTGCCATTGTGGAGCACACCAAGAAGGTTCTCTACCTGGAGGATGACGATATTGCCCACATTCACGAGGGACAACTCAACATCCACCGTCTGACCAAGGATGATGGCACCTCCAACGTCCGTGCCATTCAGACCATTGAGCTCGAGCTGCAAGAGATCATGAAGGGCAAGTTCGATCACTTCATGCAGAAGGAAATCTTCGAGCAGCCCGAGTCTGTTGTCAACACTATGAGAGGTCGTCTGGATGTGACCAACAAGAAGGTCACCCTCGGTGGTCTCCGCCAGTACATCTCGACTATTCGTCGCTGCCGACGCATCATCTTCATTGCCTGCGGCACCAGCTACCACTCATGCATGGCTGTGCGTGGTATCTTCGAAGAGCTCACTGAGATTCCTATCGCAGTCGAGCTCGCCTCCGACTTCCTTGACCGACAGGCTCCAGTGTTCCGTGACGATACCTGTGTGTTTGTCTCTCAGTCTGGAGAGACTGCTGATTCCCTGATGGCTCTTCGCTACTGTCTGGAACGTGGCGCCCTGACCGTTGGTTGTGTCAACGTTGTCGGATCTTCCATCTCTCTCCTCACCCACTGTGGTGTGCACATCAACGCTGGTCCCGAGATCGGTGTGGCCTCGACCAAGGCATACACCTCTCAGTTTGTGGCCATGGTCATGTTCGCTTTGTCACTGAGTGAAGATCGTGCCTCTAAGCAGGAGAGACGAGAGGAGATCATGGAGGGCCTTGGACATATCTCTGAGCAGTTCAAGCAGATCTTGAAGCTCAACGATCCGATCAAGGAGCTATGCGCCCAGTCCTTCAAGAACCAGAAGAGCTTGCTGCTGTTGGGCCGTGGTGCTCAATTCCCCACTGCCCTCGAGGGTGCTCTGAAGATCAAGGAAATCTCATACCTCCACTGCGAAGCTGTCATGTCTGGTGAATTGAAGCACGGTGTCTTGGCTCTCGTTGACGAGAACCTCCCCATTATCATGATCCTCACCCGTGACAACTTGTTCACCAAGTCCTTGAACGCTTACCAGCAAGTTATTGCTCGTGGTGGTCGCCCCATTGTTATTTGCAACGACGATGATCCCGAGTTCTCGTCCGCCCTGACCGAAAAGATCAACGTGCCCAAGACTGTGGATTGCCTCCAGGGTCTGCTCAATGTCATCCCATTGCAGCTCATCTCATACTGGCTTGCCGTTGGCGAGGGACTGAATGTCGATTTCCCTCGTAACCTGGCCAAGTCGGTCACTGTGGAGTAAATGTTTCTTTAGCGCGAGGTTAGATGATTCTCATGATCTGGTCATCTTTTTATCATTAGGTGTTTTGAGCTTCGGGACAATGGAATCTCGTTTTGTTTTTTTTATCTCCCTTTTCTGGGCTCATTGCCTATAGCTTAGCATAAAGAATGCATGCCCTTGCATAAACCAAATTGAACGTATGTCATAGAACCATTCTAAGCCAATTGCGCTCAACTGCCGTGTTCGGTGTTGACATTCCGCCTTCCCCCGCCAAATGCGGGACCGAGGGATTTCGCCCCTCAAGCTCTTCTGATTCATAAACATTTGTCAAGCTCAATTCTCCCAATCCCCAAACATCTTCTCTCTTTCTTTAGTCTAACCATCCCATTCAATACAATGACTTCTATCAAAGGCCCCGGCGCTGCCCAGACCCACGATGGTAAAAGCAAACAACAGCCCTCGGGGAAACTCCCTAGCTAATACCGACTTTACAACAGGCTCTGAGCTCCGCGTTGCAATCGTCCACGCCAGGTGGAACACAGTCATCATCGAACAACTAGTGTCAGGAGCAAAGAAGAACCTCCTCGCAGCCGGCGTGAAGGCGGAAAACATCACAGTTCAGACAGTTCCAGGCAGTTACGAGCTGCCTCTCGCAGTGCAACGGTGAGTGGACGACATGATCACATATCCTATAGCTATCATAGCTCCCACATAGCTTCAACTAACACTTTCTTTACAGCCTCTATGCCGCTTCCCAGCTCCAGGCCAACTCCTCCGGCGAGGGCATCAGCGCCACCGACCTCCTGGCATCGCCCACCGAAGTGTCCGGCTCAACCGAGTCCACAAGCTCTAAGAAGCCTTTCGATGCTATCATTGCCATCGGTGTCCTCATCAAGGGCGCTACGATGCACTTTGAATATATCGCTGACGCTGTCAGCCACGGGCTCATGCGTGTGCAGCTTGATTCTGGTGTTCCTGTCATCTTTGGATTGCTCACTGTTCTGACGGAGCAGCAGGGATTAGAACGGGCTGGTCTCGGAAACAGTGGTATGCACAACCATGGTGAGGACTGGGGTAGTGCTGCTGTGGAGTTGGGTTTGAAGAGGAAGGAGTGGTCTGAGGGCAAGATTTTGTAATTCTTGCGATAGATTGGATATTATATCTTTTGGGGGTTGAGGGCTACGTTGGAACCCTCTAACATATTTGGTGCGGCTTTTTGGAACTAAAACTTGGGCCTTCGTGGTAGATTGGTTTTCATTGGAATATGAAAGGAAACACCTTCACAGAACCATTATTCTTTGGGAGCATAATCTATTACATGTTCACTCTTCCATCTGTTCACCTTGACCCTTATCCTCCTCTTCTTCATCGTCCCCTTCCAGAGAACGCTTTGCTGCTTTCTCTGCTTCCTCGAGGAGCTCCTTGGGCACTTCCTCATGGCGGCCCTTGGTTGGCCCATCAACCGAGCTGATCCATGTCATCTCGAGTTCGAAGTCCTTATCCTTGCTGTCCTCGTGGGCAACGTAGATGATACGGGCAGCTTCCTTCACACCATCTGCCAAAGACAGAGTACCCGAGGTCAGATCTAGTTTCTCGAGTTCAGCTTTGGCAGCCTGTCGTCCCTTGCCAGTAGCAGCACCGTAGTATCCCTACTTTTTGTCAGCATATATCCAACCAAATACACACAGATACAGATCGCAACATACCCAGTACAGTCCACTAGGCTCAATCATGTATAGGCCAGGACCTCCGGCCTTGGCACCTTCAACCTTTCCACCAGAACCGGACTTGGGTCCAGCGCCGACCTGTCCATCAACTGGAACCTCCGCCTCAGTATCCCACCCGCCAACAATAGCAGTCACACCAAATGGCCGTACGCTGGAATAGAGGGTGTAGGCCTGCACGTAACCACCCAAGCGATTGGCAAGCGCAGAGGTCGGAATGGGACCTTTGTATGTACCTCTCCAGGAGGATGCCTCATCTCTAGCTCTGGAAACAAAGTGACGACCGTCGGGGACAAGTCCAGCGGATACCTGGATTGATAGAAAGAAGGCAGATTAGCAACGGGCACTTTGAAGCCTTTCCCTGGTAGCATGGTTTCGATGGAAGCACATTGCGTTGGGGAGAGGCGATCTGAATAAAATGGAAATGGCATCTCACAATTCCGACATGGCGATCGACTGTTGCGATTCTTTTGTTCGCGCCTGGCTTTAGGAGCTTGCTCGTGATGATCTTCTCAACTGCCAACACTACACCATCCTTGCATCTGATTCCGACTGCGGTACCACCGTTTTCTACTGCTTTGACGGCATATTCGACCTAGATGGAATTGTCAGCAATGTGAAGCTGAGTTTCGTGGCTCGTTCACGGTGTACCTGGAAATTCCGGCCGTCTGGCGAGAACACCGAGTTGGAGAGATCGTAGCCTGTGCCGATTGACGTCTGAATAATCACTCTGTTAGCTTGATTGGGATACAATATGGCATATTTTGTAGATTCGAAGCTGACTGACCATGATTTTGGTGAGGATGCGATGCGGTGAGGTTCAAGGACAACAGACGTCACTGTGGGTAGGTCGAAAGAGTTGATCTGTATATTGGACAGATAAGGGAGGAGAATGAGCGGGTTGGAGGTGACTATGGATAGGTAGGGTGAGGTTGGAAGCTCTGGGGATGATAACGGAGGTTCCTAGGCACTAAGCAGTGACGCTGTCGCGTCACGGGGTTGCCTGGCAGAGCTTCAAGTCACATGACCTCAAGATAATACCTAATCAGTACTTTGGTTTGTATGTCCTCTCTACAAGTTTTAAAGGTACTACTTGAGTACCTTGTAGTATTGTGTATATTATGGACACAAAAGGGAGATCTTACGGGCTCATTATGGGTATGTTATAGACATGAGATGCAGTATAACATATGATCCTCTTCTAGTGGCCCCTCGGACTGCAGCCCAACCGAACAAGCACTTGGGCATCTTTGCCCCTCGACCTAAATAATAAAAAAACACAACGCTTTAAATTCTTTCCTCTAGTCAGTTTTACATGGAACAGACATCTGGATCGAGCTTCGACATTTTCTATTCGTTCGGATATTGTTGAGCTAAACAGAATTTCCACCCCCGCCATGTCTTCCTCCATACTACATCAGTGCCCGCACTGCGGGCACGTCTCCGATATCTCAAATGCACTTGCAGCTTTTATCGAGAACCCCCACTGTAAACAGGTAGATCGTGCTCATTGTGATCTTACTACGCCAAGAAACCTGACCAGGTGTTGTATATAGTGCGGTATGTCTGCTTCGGAAAGCGACTCGAAAGTGCAAGACGAACTTTCAGCTCTGTTTGATAGACAAATGAGTATGACACAGCTGCATCCCGCTCCTAGAGAGACCATTGTACCATCTCAAGCGCCACAGATTGCATACAGCATTACCCAACACTATCACCACTCGGCTCACAGAGTCGCCCAACACACAGAGCCCTCGAGCATTGATGTTCTAAGGCATCACGGCCTTGACCCAAACACCCTTACTCAAGACCAGCTCGCCCTTTTTGAGAATGCCGATGCAGAGCAGAGAGAGCGGTTGATCCAAACATGGCAGCTCTACTCGCAATTTGGACATGAAGCCAGTGCTGGGGACTTTGCCATGAATGATTCTGCCATGGACGACAGTGCAGATGGAAATGTCTGTGCTGATGCGGAACCTTACATGGTATCTGGTTACGAAAACGCTGCCAACCAGGCCTCTCACCTCCCTAAAGAGCCCACCACTGGTGAAACGTACGCTGGGTCAAAGGACCCAGTGTATCAAGGTCAGCAGTGGTGGGAGATGACAAGAGCTGCTCCAATGGAATCACAGTATGGCGCATTTCAAGAGATGGGACGATATTACCCTAGCTGTGGTGTATATCACCATTAATAATGTCAGAATTACTTCTATTGAAACGAATTCCTTATGTATATATTTCCCCATGATTGTGGTTCTTGCTGCCCTTTTCTTTGCCTCTGTTGTACATGCCCCGGTTAGTATAAAATAAATATACTAACTAAGTTATAAAGGCTCCCTCCCCGCGTAAGAAATATATATCAAACTTAGCGACCTGAGCGGAATAGCTTGCCTTAGAGATTCTGGATAGAAGAAGTGTTGTGTCAAAAGGGGATGGATTTCTCTGATTCTAGATACATATTTCTTTGAGTAACGACCCAGAAACCCCCACAATTCAAATCATGATTTACCAGAAATCAATGCCATAACCAATGGTGAAGATAAAAGAGTGTTCGCCATTGGAATTTTCATAACGTATCCATCGCATGCCAACCGGACTTCCTTGAGATATTTCATATGGAAAAAGTAGTTGATGGTGTGCATATCGGTAATCGAAAAGAGATTGATCGAGCAATCTCTGTTGATACATGCAGCACCACGGAGCTCAAAGTAAAGGAGACGCTAGCAAAAGTCAGTCAATTTATTCCATACATAGAATAGACGAGACTGTGACGTACCTTTACTCATCATCCTCTTCCTCGAGAGCAGCCATGGCATGGGCGAGAGCATCGCTGGTACGCTTGACCTCATCGACGGCATCGGCGGCACGCTTGGCCTTGTAGCAGCCCTGGCCAATATGACCACACCACTTCTGAAGAACCATAGGCAAGTTTCTGGCCATGGCCTCGGCGAGGGCGTCGGCGGAGCGCTTGACATCGACGGAGGCATCGGCGGTTCGCTTGCAACCCTGGCCGATGTGGCCACACCACTTGGGAAGAGTCTCGCCGGGACCACGTGCAAGAGCGGCGGCCTGGACAGTGCCAGCAGCGAGAACAGCGACGAGAACGGAGGTGACCTTCATCTTGATTGTTGGCGGAGAAACCTGGGGTTTGGAATTGGAAGATCGGTTTGAAGAGCGAGAGACAAATACTGAGAGAGCTCGATGATGGAGATGTCTGGAAAAAAGAACCAAAGAAGACGAACTGTAATGAGGTTTATATATCCACGAAGACTGCAGGTATCATCGCCGGTTCAATAGTAGTCTCGTTATTGGGAAGAGTATCTTGGGCATGAGTTCGAGGAACCCGTTTATTCTGAATAGAGGCATGATTCTGAATAGAGCTCTTTGTCGACCGACATCAGCCCGAATAGAGGTGCTGTTCGAGGTTGCCCATTCTGAATAGGGTTCTTATTGACCGATGTCCATATGCCACTCCAATAATGAACTGAGGTCTCGTGTCGAGATGATCTAGGTTTAGCCATCATATTCGATGCTTTGACAGACAAATAGGCTAATACGCCAAATTTAATTAAGCTAGAGTATATATTAGTTAACGTCGTGGATATCTTTTGTTTGAGCTGACCACTGAGCTTGGGGTTGTGATCTTCGAGGACCGGAAGAGGATATGAATAAGAATTGGCGAAAGAAGTTGAACATCCGGGGAATTCAATGAATAAGAATGTCGAGTTGATCTATTTCTTTGTGAAGTTGTAGGAGAGTATCCATTCAGATAAGATCGGGCCGGCGCTAACCACATCGATGCCGAGCCCATCCGGAGGCTTTTTTTCCCGTTTTCACTGTTCCCTTTTCCAACCCCCTCGAATTTGGTGATTCGTGATTCTGTCCCAATTTCTTTGTTTAACTCCTTGAAAATGTTCTCCAGAACGGCACAGCCTGCTCGGGTAAGTCTTCCCATATTTGCTTTTTCCCGTTCCGTGTTTCCGCCATTGTCCATTTCACGCCAGCTGGCTTTCGCTAATCTCTTGCTCTCTATAGACTCTGCTCCGCAGCGCTTCCGGAGCTTCTTCTCTCGGTCGCTCTATTCCCGCCAGAAGTATGCCATTGATGTTTGCACCGTCTCGAAATTCTCACTAACCAATTTGCGCAGCCTTCGCCAGCATTCAGTCGGACATCTTCAAGCCCACCAAGTATGGTGGCAAGTACACCGTGACCCTCATTCCTGGTAGGCCTCACATAAACTTGCGCATTATTTGCTTGAATCGCGCATGTTCCGGACTAACACTTGCCAAGGTGACGGTATCGGTGCTGAGGTCGCCGAATCGGTCAAGACCATCTTCAAGGCCGACAACGTCCCCATTGAGTGGGAGCAGGTCGACGTTAGCGGTGTCGATGCCGGTAACAAGCACTCCGAGGAGCTTTTCCGCGAGTCCCTGTCTTCCCTCAAGCGCAACAAGCTCGGTCTCAAGGGTATCCTCCACACTCCCATTGAGCGCTCTGGCCACCAGTCCTTCAACGTCGCCCTGCGTCAGGAGCTGGACATCTACGCCTCCATCTCTCTGATCAAGAACATCCCCGGTTACAACACTCGCCACAAGAATGTTGACCTCTGCATCATCCGTGAGAACACCGAGGGAGAGTACTCCGGCCTCGAGCACCAGTCCGTCAACGGTGTTGTTGAGTCCCTCAAGATCATCACCCGCGCCAAGTCCGAGCGTATCGCCAGATTCGCTTTCAGCTTCGCCCTTGCCAACAACCGCAAGAAGGTTACCTGCATTCACAAGGCCAACATCATGAAGTTGGCCGATGGTCTCTTCCGCAGCACATTCCACAAGGTCGCTGAGGAGTACCCCACCCTGGCGGTGGAGGACATGATTGTCGACAACGCTTCCATGCAGGCTGTGTCCCGTCCCCAGCAGTTTGACGTTATGGTCATGCCTAACCTTTACGGTGGCATTCTGTCCAACGTCGGCGCTGCCCTCGTTGGTGGACCCGGTGTTGTCCCCGGTTGCAACATGGGCCGTGACGTTGCTGTCTTCGAGCCTGGCTGCCGTCACGTCGGTCTTGACATCAAGGGAAAGGATCAGGCCAACCCCAGTGCTATGATTCTGTCTGGCTCCATGCTTCTGCGCCACCTTGGTCTCGATGATCACGCCAACCGCATTTCCAAGGCTGTCTACGATGTTATCGGTGAAGGGTGAGTGGACCAAGACCTTTTTTTTTTATAGGAAAAAAAAAAGCAAGCTAACTTTCTTTTTTAGCCGCACTATGACCCGCGATATGGGTGGTCAGGCTACCACTCACGAGTTCACTCGGGCTGTTTTGGACAAGATGGAGGCGTCTCTGTAAATTTTGGAATCACCCGCGCTCCAATATACCTACCGCTACGATTGAGGATGCTGCCTGCTGATTTTTGGAATGTGCTCTGCACACCTGAATTGGTCGGTGTGGTCCTCATTTGATGTATTATCTTTCCTTTCAATTTAGCTCGAAACGTTCCCCGGCAAATTATAGCAATAGACACTTTTTCTTTTGTGATCATAACGTGGACATTCATTGCATTAATTTTTGGGTATCAACATCAAAGAAGGCCATGATTCTCCAATGGACCAACTTCATATCACGGTGCCCAGAAGATAGAGAGCTCAACCTCCAAACCTCCAACCCTTTACGAGGCCTCTAGTAGGCACCTCATAATCGACGGATTTGACCCGAGTCAAACTTGTAGGTGACGTCCATGAGCACCTCTCGACAAGCCTGTGATCAAATTCCGATTTAGACATGTAGATAACGCCCAAGGGAATGCGCATACACTGACAAAATGGGTGAACATTATGTACTTGAAGGGGAATGCAGGTGATTTGAATGCTCTTTTCATCCAGGCTTTTTCTCTTTTTTTCCTTCTCTTTTTGATCGAATCCATCAAAGACAAATGGCATCCGTAAACCAAAGCAGTTTACTCAGAAAGCGATTCGTCGTTTGCGGCCAGTGTATTTCGAGGTAGCCTTGACGACCTTACCCTTCTTCGCCATCTGCTCCTTTTTGTTCAAGATCCAAGCCTTGTCTCCCTTCCTCGGGGGTCCACGAGCATGATTGATCTCCGCAGCCTTCCGTCTCGCATCCAAGACACTAACATCATCCATGCCATTCACAACACCAGTGATATCACCAGTCAAGCCACCACCACCAACAGTCAGGACAAGATACAACTTGCTGCTCTTAGTGCCAGGATCATCTTCAAGGATACCCGCACCAAAGCCAGCTTTGATTGCAGCTCCACTGATCATACTCCGCTGGACATCATTCTTCGGGTAGAACTGACAAACAGCACGTCCACCCCGACGAAGACTGGCATACAGGCCTTCGAAGAAGCGTCGCAGACGACCCTCAGGACTAACATCGCTGGTTTCCGCATTACACAGCCACTGGATTGCACTGATGCTGATTGCGGCGTCGAATGTGCCAGGTCGGAACGGAACGCCTTGTCCGATATCTGCAAGGAATAGATCGCCTTCTACGTCCCGTTGTAAAGCCACGTCCAGCATGCTGGGTGAAATATCCATTCCGATCCATGTGTGTGGGCCACCGTCTTCAGGCGCAACTTCCGATAGCATTTCGCCGGAGAGACCGGAGCCGCAGCCGAGATCGAGGATGAAAGATGGGGATTTGAGGTCGAGAAGTTCAAGTGCGCGACTGGTCATGCTAGCTTGAATGTTGCGAATTCGCGAGGACTTCGTATACTTTCGGGATTCATTGTCATTGTAGAACAAGTCCGGTGGGCTGGAGTTTTCCACATGTGGGATTAGTTTTTTTTTAACTCTTCAATATGTGTGGAGTAGAGTCAGGCTGTCATACAGGATATCTTCAGGGCGCGACATGGTGTGTGGTATAGAATGTGCAAGTTGCGTTGTAAGTTGTAAGTTTGGAAAATCATTAAATTATATTTTTGGTGGTGCTGCCTGAGGCATCCGTACCCCAAAACGTCCACGTTTCTCCGATTGCATCTCGAATCTCTCTTGAGGCTGAATTAACCTTCTGCATTACTTTTCAACGCCACCATTTGACAGCTCTGCATTACTGGGCATCATGTGGATTCTACCGCTAGTTGGATATTTCGGGGTGGTTGTCGGGTTTGCCTTTCTCACCTTGGCCATAGGTACGGAGCGAGACATGGAATCCTAACAACAATAGAAAGCTGACTTTATTGAAATTTCAGCTTCGGGTCTCTACTATCTATCCGAGCTTGTGGAAGAACACACGGTTCTTGCCCGCCGAGTGCTGACACGTCTGATCTACGGCATCATCGCGGTCCAAGTTCTGCTTATGATAATCGACCGGTTCCCTGTGTCACTATCTGTGTTGAGCATTGCTTCGCATTTAATCTACGCCAGCAATCTGCGCCGATTCCCCATCGTGAAACTATCTGATCCTCTTTTCCTCCTCTCCTGCCTGCTAGTCGGTCTCAACCACTGGCTATGGTTCCGCCATTTCTCAAAGCCTTTGCCTCCGTCGAACAACTGGCGCCAACCGTATGGAGTCAATTACGAGGATATGCCCTCGTTCATTGAAGTGGCTTCATACTTTGGGCTGTGTGTTTGGCTCGTTCCATTCGCTCTGTTTGTTAGTTTGAGCGCGGGGGAAAATGTGCTGCCAAGCATGGGCTCTGAGTATGCTACCGGGGATCGTGGTAAACCTACTGGCCTAGGTCCCTCTGATGGCAAATCCAAGAACAAGGGAATGGCCAAAGCCTTGGTGGATGGTGTCCGAGATTGGACAAGAGAGACCGGTGAACTCATGGGTCTCTGGAAAGGAGAAAGTACACGACGATTCTGATTGAGCGAGGCCACGGGAAATGATGTTACATATATAGATGAAATGAAATTTGTATTCCGCCACCACAAGTCGTGTAGATTGTAAAAAAATAAATCGGCAAATTATGCCACCCAGCCTCCAATATCGCGTAGCCGTGGACCACCAAATTTCCAGATAATTGAGAGCAGATAATAACATATGGACATCAAGCCCAAGTGGAAGCGCTGAAGTATGAAGGAGAGGAAATAAAGGTGAGGAATGGGAAAATGAAGAGAAAGAAGAAAAAAGAAGGGGGTATAACGACGGTCAAAGTTGCTGACCATAGCATGGTGGACTCTCAACTCCAAGATGGACAACCCATCAAATTTGGTGTGCAACCGCATCTTGGTTACCATTATCATTAAACATTCCCTCGAGACTTTGATGGCTGAGATTGCCAAGCGGGTTAAAGTCATCATTCTGCGGTCGTGCAAGTCGTAATTTTTCCGGACAAGAGCGGCATGACCACTGGGCCAGAATCAGAAGTGAAAAAAAGAAAAGACTAGTGCGAAGTGTATCATAATTCAATTGCCCTGGTAGAAGGAAGGGTCTTCATAGAATAGATTAGTACAGGCTCAGAAAGATCAATTGATTGGGTCTTACCATCCATAAAGAGCATGGAACTCTCCCGTCGCTTCGTCTTTGTCGAGCGAGTGTCCTCTGAGCTAGGCACCAACATGCCATTCAAAGAAGAATAGGGAGCGCCGGCACCCGGAGGTTGGTTGTACTGCTCATGTCTGGACGTCGGTTGGTCATAGCTAGGTTGAATTGGGGTGAAACCGGTGTCATGATGTGTTCTGGCACTATCAGAAGGACCGTTCCCATCACCAGCGGTTCGGAACGAAGTCTGCTGGTACGAAGGTGTAGGGAGATCTGAGAACATCTGATGACGTGGGGAACGAATGTCATCGGGCGACAGATTGCTTTCAACTGTCAGTTCCATAGGCTTAGCAACCCTCGAATCATTATCGCCAAAGATACTGTCGTAATCTGTGAGGAACATCGAGAATACCGGCGCCGGAATATTGAGAGTTGGGGCAAAGACAATGCCCACATTCCTGACCGTCATCTTGTTCACATCAGAATTGTTAACAATCTCGATCAAGAACTGCGATAGAGCCCGTAACAGTGCTAGATTGGGACTGGGCAGTCTGTGCACCAAGGAGTTAAAGGCAGCGACCTTCTTTTGGCGATCGTCAAGTTCTGTTTAGTAAGGTTAGCAGGGTGATAAAATACAAAAATCGAATGTGTACATACCGAGAACGCGAAGGAAGTCCAAATGAAGTTCCCGGGTCAAGACGGTCGTCGGAAGCTCTCGAAGGTATTGCTTGAATAGAGAAGCCACGGCATGGATGTCGTAGTACTGATCTCCAGACACGAAATCAACATCACCTTCAGTGTTGAAACGTTCTTTCAAAGCTTTGATCACCACATTGGAACCGCTCAGACGGAAGATTCCTTCCTCCAAGGCTGCTTCCTTGGCATGGAGATATTCAATGCAACGATAAACTACTGCAGGCAGCTCCACATTAATCCCTGGTGGCCCACAATCGTGAACAGCCTCGGCCAGGGGTATACCAAATACAGGTCTGACAGGACCTGTCCTCTCAACATTGTTGCTTGCTACTAATGTATCGCTGCTGGTCTGAGTGGCAAGATCAAAGGAGGATCTAGTGCGGAAACCCCAGATACTGCGTTTCTTTTCTTTTGTCGACGTTTTTGCCTTGTTGCCCCAGGCTTCCACGTCCTGGATGACTGTGCCGTTTGTGGGTCTAGAAATCAGTCTGGGAGACTGCATTGCTTGATCGGGAGAAGACATGTCCCTGTATTCAGTCGCCAAAGCCGGGATTCGTGGGGATCGGGGAGCTTGCTCCAGAGTGGAACCAATGGTGGGAGGATCAGCTTGCACTGCATCCTCAAAGCTGAACCCCTGCACACCCCCTAGATCTTGGTCGGGACTGTCAACTCCACGGCCGGATCTCTTGCTTCCATTGAAGATTTTAGATTTGGTCTCGGTTCCCGAGAGAAGTTGCTTTTGCGGAGTCTGGGATTCGTCTTGAGACTGAGGTTGACTCTTGGATGATATGCTGCCGCGTCCCTCATTCTCGGAAGAAGCACTCTCAACATACTCCATGAGAGCATCGACCCATGTATCGCGCTCCTCATCGCTTTCGGCGCAAAGAACATGCCGAACAAGTGCCGAGGAATCTTTTTTCTTCGGTTCCAGAACCAAAAATGCATGGCGATACTGGTTGTCAGAGTCTTCCTCGCCCCCGGTAGGTGGAGCAGTCTCGGTGGGTTTTGGTGACTGCTTGCCAATCTGGGCATGATGAAGTTTGATAGTACCCATGTGCGGACCACCCGGAGATTCGTAGTATCTCAGCTCTGGGCCGTCGAGAACAAAATATCTCGCTTTCCAGCCACCGAAGTTCTTGCCTCGTTTGGTCAAATAACCTTCCTTTTGAGGCTTTCCGTCGGGCCCACGTGGCATATCAGGCCTTGTTTGGGTGAGTCCTTTCAGTATACTTGTCTCGTCGTCTCGAGGCTCGATGGCATCACTTGTCAGAAATTGGCAGATAGCTAGAGCGGCATTCTCGTCCACTGGCGTGTCCAGAAGTCTGTCAAAATATGCATTTAGTGCGGCACGTCTCAAGTCAATCTTCGCAGGGGAGTGTCCACTGAAAATATTTCGATCTGGTAGTTTTGCAGGGAGCGGACAAGATTGTCGAACTCTCTGATCCAGCTGCGGCAAGGCACCAATGACCTTTTCAACTCGCCATAGCTCTGACATCTCTGATCGAAGGATCACACTGAGAGTGAAAACAGGCTCCTCGTCCAGAGGCTTGGATGCCATATAGCTGTTTCGAGAGGGACGAAGGCGCGACGAAGATACTCTGACTTGAACCAAAGGAAGGGCATTAGGAGGCAAAAGTAGACCTTGATATTCATCAGACATCAATCCTCGGTAAATTTGATTGTCGGGGAAAGTTGCGGATCTTGGACTGTCAATCATGACAGTGGGGTCAATTGATGGTATAGGGCCACTGGGACGTCCCGAAGGGATAGGAGCAAAGCCCATAGGGTGATTGGCCATTCTAGGCGAGAGCGGCAATCCTGGGGCTTGATACCCGGCTGCAACGGAAGTGGATGCATCTCGTGGCATGCGAGGCATGGGGGAATTGATAGGTCGATCTTCTGGTCTGGGACTCAAAGGCAGCCCGGGGCTCATGGGCATGGCGACGATGGAGCGCCCGCCAAAGGACGAAGCGGGAGGCGGTCGAGAGCCCAAAAGCGACCCCAGTGAGTTAGAATCACCCACATTCGGTGGTGATCTCGTAGAAAGCTCCCTGGGTACCGTTTCCGGGCTACACGTTGCTGTGTCTCGGGAGCTATTAGAGGATGCTGCTTGGAGTGGTCCCGCAGAACCGGTAGAGGCAAGCATATCCTTCTGTAATGTAGCTTCGCGGTCTTGGTCGTCCTGCTCTCTCGTCTTTCGCCGTCCGCGGCCCGCACTCGGAATTCCATTTATATCTTCGGTGTCGCCGTAATCGGAATCGGAATCAGGATCAGAATCAGAAGCTGAAGATGCTCTTTTATTGTCTCCTTGTCGTAGATTCAGAGGCGCAGGCGGTGGCCTGCGGTTTGGATGGGGAAACCTGCTCTTTCCGTCTCCTATTGGAGATGGGATATCTGTGGGGGAGACCGGGCTTGTGGTGTTTTCAAAGCCCCGTCGAGAGATTTCAGATGGTGGTACAATCGATGGTTGATCAGGTTTGCGCGACACATTCTCTTTGTCACTACTTGGCGCGGCCATAGAGGTCGAGAGCTCAGCAACGGGGAATGGCGGCGCGTCTTGTATATCTTTGAGCTTTTTCCGATATTTATCCTTCTCTTGAAAAGCACGCTCTAGATCCTTGTTAAGGCCGAGGATCAAAGTTCTTTGTTTATCAACCAATTTCCAAAGTTGCGCGTTCTGCGAAGCCGCTTGATGTTTCTCTTTCAATAGGTGCACGATCACAGCCTCGGCAGACCCAGCGGCGTTGATGAGATTGTTAATATCGGCTGAACTCAGAGCATTCGGATCAAATGTAGATTTCTGAGAATTCGAGGACAGGGATGAAATAGCAGAGTCGATCGATGAGGTGCGAGGGATGACACGATGGGGTGCGCGATCTCCTGGCATCGAGTGTATAGAGCTGACGGACGAAGAAGCAGATCGATCGGGCTCTGGCGCACGGGATGATTTTGTCATACTGCTTTCGCCAGGCCGGCCGCTGACATTTGCCGACTCTGTTCCTACCATTTCAGGTGATTGCGACATGCTCTGACCAGGGCTGAATGGTGGCGCAGGGTATTGCGCATTAGCCGCGCGAGTGACTGGCGACCGATTCTGGGAGGAAGGGTTGGATTTCGGAGAAAGAGGGCTCTGTGACGCAGATCCTTCGACACGGTACGACTGAGGTAGGGAACTTGTATGCAACGGGGAAGGTGTGATATGTCGGGAACCAGGAGCAGGTCCGGGGCGTTGATCAGATCGAGCTAAATAATCCCGCGGGATGAGGCCGTTATTGACAGAATAGCCAGTCTGATTTTTAGACGAAGTCGGCGAGCTTTCATCAGTCCCTCGCGGAACTTGCGACATGACTGGTGTAGGGATCGAGACTCATCAGAGGGGTCACGTTCGGGGGGGCGACACGAGCCGAATGGCAAGGGGCAAGAGCACGGAACCCCGGAAGCTGAAGCTTAAGCGCCAGGGAGGAAAAAAAGGGGTGTCGACTGATCAACAGATTCTCTTGTAGAAAGAAACGGTATAAACTCCCTGGTGGGACCCTGGAGAGAATAAGAGTTGCGAGGGTGAGAGAGCCCAGAGCTTAAGAAAGTGAAGTGGGGGCAAAAAGGGGGTTTCAAGCTAACAAGAATGATAACAAACGATAATAAGAAGTCGGATATCAAAGTAATGGCGATCTTAGATCACTCCGTATTAAGGAAGAAAAGAGAAGAGGAAGATTTGGGATGTGTTGGTATGCAGAACTGATCCCTTTCAATCTCCCGGCTGCTACTCGGAGTTACCTAAGAGAGTATGCTTCTATGCGTCGAGCAGTTATTTCTTTCCCCGGTCTTTTTCTTACTGTTCTTTTTTTTATATCAGAGAGTATATTGCGTATAATGACCTTGCACCAACACTATACAAGGGGAGATGGATATACTATAAATTGTTTGTAGTACAAAGCCGTCCCAGCATTCGGCACAACTGCAGTGGAACCAGAGCGATATGAAAGTGATCTAGAATTATTGGAGAGTTGGTGAGTGGAATGTTTCGATTGTCCAGGGCAACTAGGAAATCGTATCAGAGCTGGGACTAGTTTGAGTTCTGTTTCCTACTTGACTTGGGATAGATTCTATCTTGAAATAAATGACCGAGACTCCCTGTAAATGCGACCGCAATGACTATGATACAGACCAAAAAAAGTAAAAAGCGCCAGTCAAATGAGGTACATGGTAGTACAGTTAGGCGATGTTGCCAGCCATGCCCATGAAAATAGCCTGGGCGGCTAGTTGAAGGGACCAAAATCCGACTTTCTTGAACCGCCGTTTCCGGGCCTGATCATCCACGACATCACGGGCAAATGCGTCGTAGGTCTGGAAAGATTATCAGCATTGAACAGATATTATATAAAAAGAGAAGAGGGTACTCACTGCAGCCGACAGGTCATCCATCAGGCCACTGTCAAAGATGGTCCAGCTTCCATCGAAATCTCCGACACGCTTGACTAAGCGGCAATTGATAGGAATGAAAGTGCGCTTGGAGTTGATATAGGCAACAATGGGACGGATGAGTGCGTTGTTGATGTAAGAAAGGTCCCGGGTGAAGATGGGCACAACAGCCCGAACATTGTTGAGGTGCACGCGCAAATCCATGACGAGGAAACGTCGGTCTTCAGTCTCTGATTCTGGATTGGAGTCTGAAGATACAGGCTCCGGGTAACGATTGGAGGTGACAGTGGCTTCTAACCGATCATAGAAATCGACCATCACTTTGGCCAAGCTCTCATCGTTTTCCGCAGGTAACATGATGTCGGCCACAATATCCACAGCTCCTTCGTGAATCCAAGAGAAAGGACCCTGAACACCACGGTTGAGATGGTCGACATTCAGTCCGTCAACTCGAATCCTGTTATGTTTCTTCCACGGATTTGGCTTGTCATCGTCTTCTATCCCGTTATCCTGCCGGATACCTGTGAAGCCATGGGTCTGACGAGCGTGGATTGTGAACAAAGAGTCGTCATAAGATCCAGACATCATATTGGCAGAGAGGAAATCGTAGAATAGCCATTGTTTCCGCAACTTAGGGAGGTCACACGAGAAGATGCTCACGGAGAAAGGACGGAAGTTGTCCGGTTGGTAAACAGTGACAAGCAGATCATGCATCTTGAAGGAGTCGATCTCGAAGTCACCGGGTCTATGCTCATGCCGGTAGGATTTAGGGTCCAGGTCTTCCTCCGGCCAATAAACATGGCGGCGGTCAACGACACCCCTTATGCCTTTCACCTCAACATCGTGAAGTGGACCTTTTCCATTGAGCCATTTGGTAAATGACAGTGTCACATTGACCGTCTCAATCGATAAATCGAATTGTGTATAGTTAGTATCTTCCTCTTCATCAGATACTATCTGGGAATCTTCGAATCCACTGTCCCCTCGAGCTGCTGCCTCGGCTGCCGCAGATTTTGATGAGCCCTTACTAACATGTCCTGCACCTTGGCCTGGTCGTTTTGACACAAAGACGTTCTTGAATGTGATGACGCCATTTTTCCATTTGGGCACGATTGCAGATTCAAAAACAACTTTGACTCCAGAAGACTTAGTGAGATAGTTGCCCACCCACCCCGCCAATGTTTCTGTTCAAGCACATTAGCACCCAGAGCTTATTGCAACCAAAAATGGACGTACCTTGAGCAAAGACTGTGTTGATCGCAAGAATCAGAAGCGAGAAAAAAGTTGTAGTTCCTACGACAACCCAGACGACGTGGCCTAGCAAAACCCACGAAAAGAAGGCAGTCATCTCATCCAAGTTGTAGGGACGAACACTCCTAATAGAAAACCATTTGAATCGTACTTTCAGGCGTGACCAGAACCCGGTTGCTGCGGCCAGGAGCTCCTCCTTGGTTGGCCGATGTATATGAGGCATATGTGGTAAGCGATCCCTCAAGTGGCGATTGTTCGTTGTCGGCTGTTGAGGGTTTTGTGATGGTTTGGGTTGTGAATGTGTGGTGGATGTATCTTTTCCGGATTGGGCGAGTTTCTGGGAATGGTCATTTTCATTGCGTTCATGGGTCTCTTGAGAAGCTTCTTTCTCACGCCGATGGTCGTTGGATGCATGTAAAGTTCGCTTCCAAACATGTTGGGCGGCAATTTTGGGAGAGGAGAGTATGCATGCTGTGGTAGTATCCGCAACAGCTGACGTAGGCGAAACGCCGAGGACGAAAAAGCCCCCAGAAGCGAATCTCCTGGTGAGAGGAGTAGGTTTCCTTGGAAGTGTAGAAATTCGTCGTGAGTGAGTTATAGACGAATCGAGGAATAATCTTGAGCTATAAGCATCAGCCGATACGCGATTGATTCGTATGCGACCAAGAAATGGATTTGCTGTTTCCCAAATATGGGCGTACAGCCGGCGTCCCAGGTTAGCAGACATCGTTGCCTTTACATCCTGGACATAAACGAGACAGTTGATCAAAGCGTAGGACAAACTGTATCATATACAGCAGTTGACTTGTTGACAAGGAAGCTTCCGAGCTTTGCGGGTTAGAAGAACCCAAATGAAATCATCGGAGTTTGTCTTGTTTGCATCAAAAAATTCCCTTCCGCCCACACTTCATTTTTCCGTGAGGGGGGAACTGATTAAATTTTGCGATAACAGATTTTATGAAAAAAAAAAACTTCATTCTTCAAACAATACAATGTCGGCACCTACAGCTATTCGTCAGCCAGAGCAGGCTCTCGGGCTTCAGCCTGAGACCGTCTCTCATGGTTAGCAGTCCATCTGATCTGTCCCCCAAAAAAACCTCTAGCTGACAATCAATAGATCAGGATGATGAAGTTTTGATCGATGTACAAGCCATCAACGAGGGCGCCCCGATTAACCCCGTTGCAGAGTCTACGGAGGACAGCGAAATGCGCATCGACGAGGAAGGTCGTCCTGTCTTCACCCCAGCCAAAGACGTCGCCGCAGCATATCGGATCGAAACACGAAAGGTGCCTGTACCACCGCACCGTATGACCCCGCTTAAAGCGAGCTGGGCCAAGATCTGCCCTCCTATTGTCGAGCACCTGAAGTTGCAAGTGCGAATGAACATCAAAAGCCGATCCGTGGAATTGCGAACCTCCAAGTTTACCACCGATGTGGGAGCTCTGCAAAAAGGTGCCGATTTCGTCAAGGCCTTCACTCTTGGCTTCGATCTCGACGATGCGATTGCCCTCCTCCGACTCGATGATCTGTACATTCAAACCTTTGAGATCAAGGATGTGAAGACTCTGAACGGAGAACATCTTGGTCGTGCCATTGGACGTATTGCAGGCAAGGACGGAAAGACCAAGTATGCGATCGAAAACGCCAGTCGGACACGAGTGGTACTTGCAGACCAGAAGATTCACATTCTTGGTGGATTTAAGAACATCCACATTGCTCGAGAGGCAATCGTCAGCTTGATTTTGGGTAGCCCTCCGGTAAGTCTTGGTCATATAAATACTTGAGGGGAATTTTTCTAACACAAAACAGGGCAAGGTTTATGGCAATCTTCGGACCGTCGCTTCACGAATGAAGGAACGCTTCTGATTGCACGACTCATTATCTCATCCGGCATGGTGTGGGCGTTCAGGTGCATCGGGGTTTTACGCTGTCTTCTTTTTCTTGATCTTAGAGGCTTGACGACGTATAACGTAAAGATATCAATTCATGGAAATTTCAGTCATCTCGATTATGTTTATGATCAACTGATCAAAAAGGAGCTCTTCGCTCCGATAAGAAGGCCATGATCTACCATGTCCTCCTGTATTCTAATCCTGCTTCAGGGCGTGGAACACTTCCTCGATTCCTTCCCGAGTAACAATCACCATTTGCAAACCATCACCAACCTCAATGTGTCTCTCCACTGCACTTGTAAATGCATCCTGTACAAGCTTCTTGGCTGTTTCCTTGTCCAGAGGCTCAGCCTTTTTGGGCACAAGTGCGTGTCCTTCTCCGCTTCCTGGGATGTATTGATTCTTGGAGTTGACTTGGTTGTCCAGGAAAGGCATGATCAAGCTGGATGCCGCGCCGGCAGCGCGGCACTGCTCCCGCTCGTAAGAGCCCACGGGGTCGTAGCTGTACAAAGCTCCCACACCTTCCTCATCCAGACCAGCCAGAATAGCATGTACATAGTACGGGAAGAATCGCTTCTCGTAGAGGATGGTCGACAATCGCTGTGCACATGCCCCCACTGACATGGATTTCCCATGTTGATACTTGTACATCTTCACCACAGTGTCCAGCTTTTCCTTGAGAGCGTTTCCATCTGCCGCGAAACCAACAACGGAAAGGATGATTGTAGCTCCCTCACCAGTCTCATCATCACCACCGATCTTGAAGACTTTCGGGACCATGCGAGAGTTGATATTGTAGCCTGATGTGGAACGAGTATCACCGGCGAGGATAGCGAAATCAGCACCCGTGATGCCGAGGGTGGAGCCGCCATTATCGGTGTAACTAGTGTAACCGTCAGCCAATGTTCTTGCTCAGTTTGATCAGGTTGTTCCTTACGGATAGAAGGAATGTTGTTTGACGTTAGCGGATGTTGGCTCAGAGAAGGAGTATCCAATAGTCCCAGAGTGGTTACCCATGAGCGACGTCATTTTCGGCGAGAGAGAGCTTGATCAGGAAAGTATACCACAATAACAACTTGGTAGAGAAGATTAAGGTGTTGAATGTAGAGGATTCTCGGGATTGGGGAGTTCTGGAAGATGGAGAGCAAAGAAGCTGGGTGTCTGACGCGATGCGGTAGCTGCCTTCTGATTAGGTAAGAAATACCCAAGCTCCCCGAGAGCCCTGGAGGGCTACCGTGATAGTTACGCTCCGCGTATTATTTGTCCTAGGACGTCAAGTTCGACTTGCACTTGTTCAAGTGATAATATTGTCTATATTTCTGGATAATTTCCCATTGCCCTCTTTTTCCCTTCCAATCTCGACGCTTATACCTGGACACAAACTGCGAAGCAATGCTTGGTCTCGGTGATTATGAGAGCAGCAGCGAGGATGAGGTAGAGCAGAAGGGTTCTTCTCCCAATTCTCAGGTAGTTTAAGCCCTGGAAGAGTAGCGCCGAAAAGTCGCTGACTCAAAAGCAGCAGCGTTGTAAAGATATTCCCCCTACAGCCTCACAAGCTAGCCAGGACGAAGGTAACATGCTTGTTAACTTCCCACCAGTATTCCCCAAAGGTGGGCGCTGACAATTTATCCAGATCATAAATCTTTCCACCAACAACCAAAAAAGACATCTGTTCACGTTGCCACCGATTCAGTCCCAGAAGGACCTGTCCTTGGCCCCGCATCCATGGACATGGCGCCTCTCTCGGAGGACAAGCATTCGACAAGTGGACGCTCCTCTCCCTTCTCAACTACACGTGGAATTGTTCAAGACCTCACTCTCCCTCCGGTTCCAAATCTAGACATCCCACCATCACCTCCTGGGTCTCCAAACCCAGCCGTGAACGCGAAATTCGAACATTTCCTCTCGCTCAAAAAGCAAGGCGTACACTTCAACTCAAAACTGGCCAGCTCGTCATCGCTTAAGAATCCAAGCTTGTTGAAGAAAATGATGGAGCATGCTGGAATCAATGAACGATCGCAATATGACACATCGTTGCCATCCGACTTGTGGAATACCTCAAATTTACCCAAATGGGGTTTCAAGGAAGAGCTCTTGAGAACCCAGCAAGATTTTCGTAAACAATCAGAGGAGAAAAAGGCATCCGGCCAGCGAAGCTCGGTTGATTTTGTCTCTGGGTCTGCCTGAGTATTCATTCAGCGGCAACCAAACCAAAAAGACCAACCCTAATGCCATATTTCGAATGGCAATGCCAAATATCCTTGGGTGGATCACTTCTCTCGGGAACTGCGGGCATTCGGTATTGCCCTGAAATAGTAACTGGCGCATAATCTGAATGCTTCGATTACTCAATGACGCAATGTTTGCCTTTCCTACAAGGGAACTTCCGTTCTGGCACCCTATCATTCATCAAGAAGAAGAAGAAGAAGAAGAAGAAGAAGAAGAAGGGCTCTTCTATCCTTGATCAAAGTTTAGTTTGTGCGCAATCTTGGAGAAACATTCTGGTGGTATATCCAATGACTCTAGACAGCGACCTAGCAGGAGATCAACGATACCCTCTCGATTGACATAGCGCTCGCTTGGACTCGTGTACATTACATTGGAACAATGACACTCGATTCAGCCCCCACCACCACCGGATGCACTCTGTCTGCGCCGCCTCGCCTTCCCACACAGACTCGAACAAGAAATTTAAGACCATTCGATTGAAGCCCTCTCCGTATTCCACTCTGATTTGAAGTTTCTCACCTTTGCCCAGTCCTTTCGCACCTGAAAAGACGCCAAGAATTTGCTCGGTGTGCCCATCCACGCGCCTATAGTTCCGGCCAGTCCATCGAGACAGCACTGAATTCTCAACGCCAACGGTTCGTGTTTGTTTCCGTAGGAATGACCGCCCCTCGCTCTGAGTTTGATCATATCCACATTGAGCTGTCATTTCGAGCCGGTATTTTGGTTTGTGAATGAGCTCCTTGGCCATATTCTCCCGCTGCACGGCGCTCACATCGTCGGGATTCCCAATGCCTATTTTGTAGTCACCGGATGACTCCAAAAAATTGGAGACGGCCACAGTTGGGGCCCGGGTGCTGGTACCAGTATGGAAAGTAAGGCCAGGCTTATTTGGTGTGAGCAAAGATATTTCGCCGTAAAACAGAGGCTGGTTATCCACCCAGTTGATATCATAATGCCGGTGGAAGATCTGGTTCGTGATACTATACACGCGTGGGAAGCCAATGTCGTCAACGGGATGGGCAGATGCCGCCGACCCAGCCCGACTTGGGCCCTGAGAAGACATGGACCTTTCTAGAAAAAGAAGTCTGGATATTCATGGAGAAAGTGCCGGGGACACATCCATCGATGTAGTGTATAGAAGTTTTGAAAGCGAATACGAGCATCAAAGTATTAGCCTCCGAGATAACCAGCCAAGTGCAGTAGGGCCAATGAATTACTTTCAACTCCTAATTATTTACATTTAAAGGGGTATTGAACATAGTAGCTCTATACATGCCCTATATTGTACAGGGCTCCGCCGTGACCGCGAACCTTAGTCAGCCGAGCTCTCCGTCAGCTCGACTGCCTAAGATAGCTCCCCATCTATCGTCATCACTTTGTGCTATCCATCTGTTGATTTCCCTCATTGTCTGCAATTTAATTCCCTTCTTCAAACCCCGTTCAAACTATCATTTATTTTCATTCATCATGAACCACTTCCCTGAAGCTTGGGGCCGCGTAGGTGGCACAACCTTCCCAGTCCTTGCTCTGTTGCTAACTATCCATCCAGCCCAGGAACGATGTCTACGGTGCCTACGATCACTCATATTTGCAGACCACAGGCCCGAAGGCCCATACCTCATCGCCTGCCGTGACTGGAACGTCAGTGGTGGGTGTCAAGTTTAATGGCGGAGTGGTTATAGCTACCGACAACCTGGGTATGCCGTCCCATTGTCACGTTCCGCGTCCTTTGCAGAATTGCCATCTAACACGATACTATTTGCGAATATGTAGCTTCCTACGGATCCCTGGCTCGTTTCTCCGACACGAAGCGTCTGCGTAATTTCGGCGATAAGGCAATGGTTGGTTTTGGCGGTGACGTTTCCGACATGCAATATCTCGACCGTCTCCTCGACTCCATGGATATCAAGGAGAACTACTCCCCTCACGGCAACATGCTCAACGCCAAGAACCTGCACACTTACCTTGCAAAGGTTTTCTACAAACGACGCTCCGAGTTCAACCCGCTGTGGAACCACGTCCTCGTCGCAGGCTTCGATGCCGAAGGAGAGCCCTTCCTTAGCTCGGCAGACTTGCTCGGAACGACATTCTCTGCTCCTCATCTTGCCACAGGCTTTGGTGCTCATCTTGCGGTTCCCATTCTGCGCCGCGAGTTCCCTGAGGGTACACCCCTTGAACAAGTCAGCAAGGAAGATGCTATCAATGCCGTGAAGGCGTGCTTGAAGGTTCTGTTCTACCGCGATGCACGAAGTAGCGACAAGTACTCGATAGCCGTGATCACGAAGGATGGTATTGATCTGAAGGAGGATGAGCAGATTCAGGGTCAAAGCTGGGCCTTTGCCGAGAGAATCAGGGGATACGGCGCCCAAACTGCTTAGATCCTTACTTATGTTTTTCTTTTACATGTAATGCACACGGGATTACGGATACAAAGATAATTTTTTGGGTCCAAATAACCACAAAGATAAATTGCAAAGACTGAAACGTGCCGGTAGTTATATACAACTTGAACCAGTGCCAGTCACATCATTGGTCTTACGGTAAGTTCAAGATAAATAGATTTAGAGCTTGGCGTTGGGCTTGTCAAAGACCACCCGGTTGACACAGGACCCGACGCCCTCCAGGGAAACCTCGACTTCATCGCCATCCTTCAGCCACACCGGAGGCTTGCGACCCATGCCCACGCCTTGGGGCCTATCAAAAGATTAGTCTATCAAAATCAAAACGTCAATGTGCTTGCTCATCATGGTGTACTTACGTTCCAGTGAAGATAACATCTCCAGGCATGAGTGTAGTTCCCTGGGACAAGAATGCTATCGTCTTGGCCACGCCGAAGATCATATCCTTAGTCGACGAAGACTGGACAGTCTGTCCATTCAACTTGGTCGAGATAGCCAAGTTATTTGGATCGGCAATCACACTGGAAGAAACAATACCAGGACCAAACGGTGCCCATCCATTGAATCCCTTACCCAGGGACCACTGACCTCCACCACGCTTGATCTGCCAATCGCGGTGGGAAACATCATTGCCGACAGCATAGCCCAGGACATATTCCAGAGCCTTGTTCTCGGGGACATCAGTGGCCTCTTTCCCGATGACGATGACGAGTTCACACTCGTAATCCAGACCCTCGCCTTCCTGGGCAAGTTGAGCCACGGGGATATCATCTGTAGGGCCGGAAATTGAAGTCACGGGCTTGTAGAATAGGATAGGATATGTTGGAATGGGCATGTTCGACTCCTTGGCGTGTTGCTCATAGTTCAGACCCAAGCATCGAACTGTGCCAATATCCTTACGGGCCAAAGGTGCGAGGAGCATTCTCACATCGACAATCTGGTCGGTAACCCGGTGCTGGCCAAAGATGTCACCCTGGATGACTCTGGCCTTGGCGGCTTTGGCGATGTCGCTCACTCCAGATGGGAGAATAGCATCGCCATAATAGATTTGGCCATCCTTGGCCAGGAAGCGGATGAGGTGCTATTTGGGAAATTAGTAAATGTTGATACAATGAAATACTATTCATTCAATAATTTATCATGTATGAATTGTTCATTATTTCTCTTGAAATAATCCAATCTCACACTCACAGTAAAAGCAGCCATTGGGGAATATGGGGAAGTTAGAAGTTCGACGGAATTGGAGATTGGGGACATCTGAGCACTCGGCCGGGAATCTCTTTTTCCCCAGAGGCGGGAAACATGAGCTCCACCCAATGATTCACAGGCTTTTTCCCTTTCTATTAATTCACAATGGCTAGGCTCTCCGGTCTCCAGAGGGACGTTCTGTCTCTATACCGAAAATGTCTACGGGAGATCCGAAATAAGCCTGAGGTGGGTTTAAGGCACTTCCTCCGACGTCAACCTCAACTGATACCTTCTATTTGTAGGACTCCAGGATCAATTTCAAAAGATATGCCCGGTAAAGCTCTATTCATTGCCTATTTTCCTATCTGCCTATCTGCCTATCTCCCTCTTCTTCCCTCTCCTTTTTCCTTTCCCAACAGCATTCCCCCTAGATATCGGTTCAATCCGGCTAAGACGGTATACAGGGCAGAGTTCCAGAAACATCTCTCAGTGAATAAGAAAGACTTTAGCACAATTGAGTATCTCTTGCGCAAAGGCAATCGACAGCTCGAGCTGTATGCTACCCCGGGAATCCGCAATATCCGATGAGCGGGCCCAGATCTCAGAGTCTAAGCCGTCCGGGGGTGTCAACGGATTGCAGGGCTAGTTTTGTATGTCTCGCGTCTTTTCAGCCACATATCTCCACCAGTTCACTCATTGGAATAGAATCGGAGATCTCTAGCATTGCCGGTTCCACCCAGGACGGATCCCTGCGAATATGTTGAACATGTTGAACATGCTACGCAAAAAGCATGGCCAAGCACGATGTTGCTGGGGCCTTGTTTTGGAGGCATTTTGTATAATATTAAATCATAGACTGTTGAGTCATTAGGGCTTTGTCATGCAGTGTTTTACCCATCCTACCATATCGCCACTATTGACTCATTCTAAAGTCCCGGAAGTTTCGAGATATAGAGTAATTACCAATCACGAATTATTCATTCAGTCCAGAGAGTCATTTCCTAGAATTATAGAATTATTCAGCTTATGGAATGGGGTGGTTGTGTCTTGAAGTTGCTGGCAGCTTGTGGACTGCGCCACTAGTTTCTGGATGCTTCCGCCGGAGTATAAGCAATGAGCCTCAGGTACTATGAACATCAGATATAAAATGGCAGATATTCCACGCCAATTTAGCAGAACAGATCAATCAAAACACAATCATCATAGTCTCTCAGACAATCTACCACTCTTACAACTTTTTTTCCAATCCAAAAATCTCCAGCAATGGCCTTCTACACTCAATCCGGCCTTTCGCCACTCTTCCAACTCCTCAATGACTACGAGACTCCCCAACAATGCAAGTCTCGCCAATGTCCCAAATCCTACCAGTGCTCCAAACAAGCACGCACCTCCTCTTTCGCACCAGCCTTTGATGTGCGCGAGTTCACAAACGCCTACCACCTCGATGGTGAACTCCCAGGTGTGGACCAAAGCAACATCGAGATCGAGTTCACCGATCCCCACACTCTCGTGATCAAGGGCCACACAGAGCGTGACTACATCAATGATGACAACGATGCCAGTTCAAGCCGCAGCTCATCTCCTGCAGGCTGGCACAAGCCCACAGTCGAAGACGAGGATGCAGCATCTACTACTAGCTCGGCCGACACTGTCGACACCGCTGCTTCCCATCCTGTCGAGAAAGATCAGCCTCACTTCTGGGCCAAAGAGAGGTCTGTCGGTGACTTCCAGCGCACTTTCAGCTTCACCGCGCGTGTTGATCAGGACTCTGTTCGCGCGAGTCTGAAGAACGGTGTTTTGTCTGTTATTGTTCCGAAAGAGGCGACTCCTTCGCCGAAGAAGATTCGGATTATGTGAGTTGATCAATCTATGAGTGTTTATGGGTTGAAATCCATTGCCTCGATATCATTGATGACATTTGCATTGGGATCTCCGGGTGGCGTTCTCTTTCCTTGCTTGCATTTGATGAATATGTACTTCTACGACCTGACCTTTGTTATTATTAATCTAACTTGATGTTTATTATATTGCTATCCCGTGTCTAGACTGGTAATATGCAGTAGATCGTAGAGAAACTAACTCCATGGACCCTGCGCCTAGTAAAAGCCCCTTGCTTAACTCGATAACCTTACTTCGTGTACAGGAATGGCCGGGGAAACCCTCAACCACGCGGTGAGGAATTATGTACGTATGCATAAGAAGGCAAGATAGGCGAAAGGTGAGATCTTATCCCATCGGGGACATGCATGCATTTCGGGGACTAGACTAAGCGCCCAATAAAATCCTAAAATTGTAGAACAGCACATGGTATACAGAATTCATGGATTTGTGTATAACGCCGGATATGATTCACGCCAATTCCACTTCCAATTCCAAAAGGGTATACCTAATAAGACTCCATATCCAAAATGGGTCGCAAACTCCCGCATAACCTCCCAAAAAAACCCCCAAAAAATAAAAACAAGGACCACCTCCATAATGAACTTTTGTAGACGCCGTAAGCAAACGAGACGCGATCAAAACAAGATCCAAGGCAATAAATGGGCAACAAAATCATTACTAGAAAAATCAAGAACCAAAAAAAAGGGAGAGGTCGTTATATGCACAGGTCCGTTTGTGGACGAGGTTTCGTCAACCGACGACGGGGATAGTCATTGCTTCGGCTTCTCGTCCGGCCTCGCGTCGGCTCAGAGGAAGCTAGTTCAGCATCAAGATCAAGGTCATCCTGCAAGTAGCCTGGGGACATGATAGTGGGCAGCGGAGGAGCGTCGACGCCTGGTCTCATGCTCCAGATGCGACTTCCCAGTCGGCTTCTAGATCGTGAGACTTGCCGTTGTGTATTGTACTCTTCATGAAGTTGATACTCAGAGGTCGACCTGCGGAGTCGCTCCTTGGTTTCAGTGATTGGCTGCTGGTGACTGAGTTGTGATTCTCCAGTAGTGGTAGACCCCACAGTAGATGCAACGTCAAACGAGCCCAAGGACAATCGATCTCCATAGAAAGGTCCTCTGGTAAGGCCCTGTTGGGCAGTGGACTTAATTTCAAGGAGAGATTCGCGCGGCCAGGAATATTCCGTGTATCGGGGCGCACACAACGTTGATCGACGCGATCGCGATGGAGCAAGGAGAGCTGGGTCACTCGAATCGTACCAGCGAGCAGCAACTGGTAACAGCATTGAGTAGTTCTCCGGGTTTGTCTGCAGGCTCATGGGACGCTGTAATTTATCGCCTAGTCGACTTGAAGCCGAGCTGTTCAGGATACAGATGTTCTTAGAGGTATCTGTACCACATGAGCTCGACGTCTGTGAGGTGGCAGAACTCTGAGTCCGGCTCCGCTGTATGGAATGAATTGAGGTGGCAGAGCTGTAGCCACTGTCGGACTTGTTGAGAGATTGAGCTGTGCTCCGAGCAAGACCGGTGTCCAAAGCACCTTTCTCCAACTGGATTCTTGTATCATCGCAGAGCACAATTCCCTCATCTTCTGGATCTCCAGGAAACAAAGATTTTGCGCGAGGCTGGACTGTGATAGTGGGGGACTTTTCGAAAGAGAATGGGCTCCCCGGAACATCGTCCGATTTCTTCAAATCGGGCAAGGATGGAATATCCAGCGTCGATCCCCTGCTAGGCCCTGAGAGTTCTATGTTCTCAAGACCAAGCCCAGGGCCTGAATCACATGGCCCACTGAAAGGAATGCGTTCGCTCGAACATGGAGAGGCAGAGCCATTTACAACTCGCAAAGACCCTAATTTAAGTGCCCCGAGCTGAGTATATTGGGTCTCCATTGGGCTTCTCGGCCGCACTGGAGAAGGCAGACGCAGCGGTCGCTGGCTCGAAGGCAATGGCCATTGCAGAACGGTTGACTCAGTCGGATCCTCAATCGGGCATTCAGGCTCCCCGATGGGTGACGGGACGCGTCGAACTGCGCCTGTTCGTCTTGTGGCGACCCCAGGTCGCGTTAGGAGCGATCGTCGACGCGTTAATGAGAACCGTTGGTTCCCAACCAAGAAGTGGGTGTTGGAAGATGTCGAATCCCCAATATGGTTTTCATAGACAGCGCTATTGTGTCTCCGTAGAGGAATTCGAGTCGAACTGGCCCGCTTTGGTGGCTGTTCATAAAGAGGCGAGGGCTGGGAACCCGATTCCCAAGTTTCCGACTGGTAAGATGTTCTTCTCGAAGAGCTTGCAGTCAAGAGGCTTGGGCGGATTGGACGCTGCGTGGGACTCTGATCATATACAAAGGCTCGGTCCTCTGTCGGGGTCTCTTCGGACGAGTCCGTTTCGAAAAGAGTCGGTGGGATCTCTGCTTTCTTAGGGTAACTGCCCCGTTTTTCTATAGGGGAACTGGCAATATTCTTGCCAACCCAAGGGTTTTGCCACCCTATCAGCCCTGAACTGAACGTTAAAGGGTCTGTTTCGGGTAGTTGGGAGCTTTGACCGAACTTCTTCGTCAGGGGCTTTGAAAGGCGGTTGGAGCGGCGGATTTCGTCTTTGGCTTGACTCGATTGAGAGTTGCCCATGACTTCAGAAATGCAAGATTTGAATATGCTCCAGATTCAACGGGGCATGTGCAGGAGCAGAATGATATACAAGAATAAGGACTTGGAGCACTGTTCCCCCGCAGTGACCTTGAGTTTCCAAGCTTACCCCGATAGAGAGAGGGAGCTCTTCAGATTAGATCGCACCCCGGACTTCTGACGTCAAGCCAGGCCCTGGTCCACAGAGGACGCAATCCGAGCCCCAAGCTCGTACAACAGGGTTGGAATTGAGACGATTGGCGGTTCAAGGTTTCCCAATGCCCGGAGATGATGGTCCGTGTTTCAGATTGGGTGCAATGTGAGAATTGGTTGGACTGGAAAGATGGAAGACGGATGACGGGGAATTGAGGTAACGTCAAGCAGATAACCAATCTTGAAAGCCGGGAATCCCCTTCAAGCAAGATTTTGAGGATTTCACGATTTCAAGATTTCACGATCTCGATTGACCAGGGGTAGATCAAAATTGGCAGATACGCAACATTAAGATTATAGACATGCAAAACACAAAAATAAATATAAAAAAAAAAAAAGCAAAAAGAAAATTAAACAGTCCGGAGTAAAGAATTGGGAGGGGAGGATAAGGGAAGGGGGAACATACGATACATAAGTGGAGAGAATCACGACAAACGTGTATATGCAACTAAACAGTAGGAAAAAAAAAGACGCAAGCATTTTGCCACGAAGTTTCAGATCCCATTTACTCTGGACATCAACAACTGCATGCAGAAGAACAAGGAACCATCTCCACGCGAGGAAAAAAAGAAAAAAAAAGGTACATACCGCAAACGGAAGTAGCCACTACTTGTGTTGAACATACAAGTACCGTACAGAATGTAAGTACTGGCTACTTCTAAGCACACGTCGTATTCCTGACAAACGCCATTGTTTTCTTCCTTTTCTATATCCGGACCACTGCAATCAATCTTTGCTTTTTTTAAACCACTTTGTATCCGTGGATTCATCTTCCAATGTTTCTCATTTGACATAGTGATAAGGTCAAGTGCTCTTATCCTTGCGAAATCCCCGTACCCTGGCCACGCCGCATTCACAGCTGAACATCTGCATCCGGACAACTCGTACACTGATACGAAGTGACAGCCACCCCAGGCTCCAGCCGCATGGCTGAATCGTGCTCTGCATTTCCCTTTCTGGTGCAGTCGGAGTTTGAGAGTGCATGTAAAGATCTCGCTGATCGATGCACTTCAGCCCAAAATATTGACTGGCCCGCCATTCGACTGCTCACAAAGGTATCCCTTTTTTGTCATGCATGAACCATTGAAATCTTATCTATTTCTTTATTAGATTGAATCCAGAAAAACTAATGGGAAAATATGTTTTGGAAACTAGCCAAATGGAACAGGCCTCAGAATAACAAAATATGTCAATCTCCCCAGCCCAGAAGCCCCGGCGCTTGAGGAAGAATCACAGGAAGATGAGGATCCGGTCTGCAGAGTTCTAGCCCTCCCAAGGGACGTGCCCCATTTTCTGACTCTTCACCGCAGGAAGCCCTCGTTCGCGCCAAACTCCCCAGCTTACAGATTGACTATGACATCTTATTGTCCCCCACATATCAGGTCCCCGTCTTGTACTTCGGCCTCAGGTGGCACAACGGCCCACTCGGACTAGACGAAGTCTACCAGTATGTCGTGCCGGAACGGTACAGGCAAGAATTGAAGAGTGTGGGTGTAATGGGTGGGATTAGTATGGGTGTAGGTGCATTCTCGGAACCTCGTGACAAGAGCTCATGTCTTTTTGTTTTTGTTTTTTGCTTGTAGTACCATCCTGACTCTGGCGCCCCGGCCTTTTTTGTCCACCCATGCAACACCGCGGATGCTATGGCGAATATTGCAGACGCACAGCGCGTCACTCCTGGGTCATATCTCCTCATCTGGCTCGGCCTTGTAGGTCATTGCGTGAACCTGCACGTCCCACACGAGCTCTTTGTTTAGCACAGTACCAGCCAATACTTCTTGCATATGCTGGAAACGCTGGGGAATCAAGTAAAAAAATCACATGCAAGGTGAGGACTTCAAGTCTCTCCCAGTCCCCAGCAGGGGCCTCGTTCATTGGATTACTCCTCATCGGAGGAAGCTTCCATTGGTACATCGCTATCTTCGTCCATCGGGGCCTCTTCGTTATCGCTTTCCTCTTCACGCGGTCGCTTCAAGCCTTGACCCTCTCCGTTGGCACCGGTTGTGGGTCGTGCAGGGAGGGCGCCTGGAGGAGCTCCGAAGATAGACTTTTGGAGGTCGGTCGTGACTGGAGCTGGCGCGGCCTCGACTGGAGCAACATATGTGCCGCGAAGTTTTGAAATGATATTTGATGATCCTTTGGCGTACACAATTTTCTAGACATCCATTGATTGAGCGGGGGTTTGCGATGGTAGAAGAGCAAGGAAAACGTACCATCTGTTGCCCGAAGAATTCGAATCCTTGTAAAGCCCGCAGTGCTTGTGTACTGGCTTGGACATCCTTGAACACAATATGGGCCTGGCCTCGCATTTTGCTGGTCTTCATGACCACAATGTCGAGGACGGTGCCGTATGTGGAGAATAAGGCATAGAGTGCCGTTCGCAGATCATGTTTCGGGATTCTCTTATCGGGCAAGTGTGTGCAGTAGAGCCTAAAAGTTGTTAGCGCCAATGCACGACATTCTCCGGTGCTTGGAAGGACAAGCTCACGTCTGGTTGGGAGGACCGGTAGCGACGGCCTTAGTATCGGGGCCTCCACGGGCGGGCAATGATTTTGAGGCCATTTTTTGGGTGATTAATTAGTTCAGAAAGGCTGTCGTCTGATTGAAAGGGTAAATGAGATAGCGTATGGGAAAATGGAGCTCAATCGCGTGCCATGTTAATGGCGACTCAAAACCTCGACATAAAAGTAGCTTCAGGTCATGTGATACATGTTCTGACTAAGCACCACCGTCATCACCCAGCTCCCCTCCTGGTCCCGCAACTACACAACCAAGTATACAAGCACGACGGTAGAGAGACCCTCCTGTCGTTATTATCTCCAATATGGCCACTCCTCAGGTTCACCATCTCTTCCATGCACCAATTGCAGACCACTCCTTCTCATCCGATAAGAAGACACTTGCTGTCGCTCGGGAGAACAATGTGGAGCTGTATCAACAATCAGGTAACAAGTTTGCGCTGAGCGATGAGCTTAAGGGACATGAGAAGATCGTCACCAGTGTTGATATTGCTCCCAATAGTGGCCGAATCGTCACTTGCTCGCAGGGTATGTTCTCGTAAGGCTCTTTCTACCACACTTCAAATACCTAACAGGTGTTCGTTCTATAGATCGCAATGCCTACGTTTGGGAGAAGACTCCCACCGGATGGAAACCCACTCTGGTACTTCTCCGAATTAACCGTGCCGCAACCTTTGTGCGCTGGTCTCCATCGGAGCAAAAGTTCGCCGTCGGCTCCGGCGCCCGAGTGATTGCAATCTGCTACTTCGAGGAGGAGAACGACTGGTGGATCTCAAAGCACATCAAGAAGCCTATTCGCAGCACCATTACAACCCTGGCGTGGCACCCGAACTCCGTCCTGCTGGCAGCCGGATCGACCGATTCTCATGCCCGAGTCTTCTCCAGCTTCATTAAGGGTATCGATACCCGCCCGGAGCCCAGCGCGTGGGGAGAGCGCCTTCCTTTCAACACCATCTGTGGCGAGTACCTGAATGATACTGCTGGTTGGATCCAGGGTGTTGCATTCTCCCCTAGTGGTAATGTGCTTGCCTTCACTGGACACGATAGTAGCGTCACTGTCGTATACCCCAGCGCACCAGAGCAGCCCCCGCGGGCAATGTTGAATATCGCTACCCGTTTGCTGCCGCTCAACAGTCTGATCTGGAACGGCGAGAACGAGATTATTGCAGCTGGTCATGTAAGTTGTTTTTTTTTTTTTTGAGTAATACAACGGCTTGTGCTAACCAGATCTAGGATTGTGAGCCTTTCCGTTTCCGCGGCGATGAGAATGGATGGCAACTTGCCGGCTCTCTGGAGAACAAGGCTGGACCAGCCAGGGGTGCCCGCGAGGAGTCTGCTTTGAACATGTTCCGGCAGATGGATCTCAAGGGCCAGGCTCAGGCAGATACCAAGCTCAAGTCTACCCACCAGAACACTGTCCACACCATCCGGGCCCATGATGAAGCCAACGGAGTTGTAAGCTCCTTCAGCAGTAAGATCACCCTCCAGAAACACAAGACCTACCAGAGACTAACATATTGTTACAGCGAGCGGTGTCGACGGTCGCGTTGTCATTTGGGCCGCCTGATTTGAACCTTTAATGCCGGCCTTAGTCCATGGTCAGCATGCATATAGTATTGGATAGAATTCGAGTACATTCAGCCTCTCGTGACCATTTAGAGTACATTCCTTCTCTTGTAGACCCATATAGACCCCCGGTATCTTGATCGACATGGACCAGCCAATAAGGAAACCGATGACATAATGTGAGTCCACGTTACCCCGGATTCCAGTCACATCTCCACATCACACGGTCTTGTTCCTTCTCATAAAATGATTTCATATCTTCCCTCCAGCTACCCACGTCAGCATGTTACGCCATGGCTAGCATTTTACTCTTCCCTTTGCTACTATACATCTACTTCCTGAGCCTCGCCACAGCCCAGAAGACCAACCATGTCTCAACCGACCTATTCAACTCCCTCGAGGAGTTATCCCGAATAGTGGACATCTCATACTGCGTCGGAACATCAGAAGTACACAAACCATTCCAGTGTCTGAGCCGCTGCACCGATTTCCCAGATCTAGAACTAGTAACAGTGAGTCCATCTACAACCCCCCACAACAAAAATAACAACCCACTAACCCAACCGATAGACCTGGAATACAGGCCTCCTTCTCTCCGACTCATGCGGCTACATAGCCCTCTCCCACAACCCAACCTCCAAGAAAATCCTCCTCGCCTTCCGCGGCACATACTCAATAACAAACACAATAATCGACCTCTCCGCCTACCCCCAAGCCTACATCCCCTACCAAGAAGAGAACACTCCCTGCGAGAACTGCACCATCCACGCAGGCTTCATGCGCTCATGGCAGCACACCAGAGCAGAAATTCTCCCCCAGATCTCCGTTCTTCGCGAAAAATACCCAGATTACCCCATAACGCTGGTAGGCCATTCCCTCGGCGGAGCAGTTGCAGCACTAGCGGGACTGGAGATGCGTCTGAAAGGCTGGGATGCGACTGTGACGACGTTCGGGGAACCTATGATTGGGAATGCGGCGTTTGCGAGATTCCTCGATGAACAGTTCGGACTCGATGGGATCGCGGTTCCACCGCTTGAAGGGGGTCAGCGGTTTCGTCGTGTAACGCATGTCGGGGATCCGGTTCCTATGTTACCGCTTGTGGAGTGGGGGTATAGTCCTCATGCTGGGGAGGTTTTCATCTCGAGGGAGGGATTGCCGCCCCGGGTGGAGGATGTGGTTCATTGTGTTGGTGCGAATGATCCTGCTTGTATTGCTGGTGGGGGGAGCGAGGGGGTTTTGGTTGAATTGTATCGGGATTTGAATGTTCCTGTTGGGTTGGCTGGTTCTGGTTCTGGTAGGGAGGGGTGTCGGTCGACTGATGGTGATGGTGATGGTGATGGAAGCGGTGCTGTGACGGGGGAGCAGGCTGTGTTGGAACGTTCACGGTTGAGTTCTGATCTTACAGGTTGTGAGGAGCGGTTATCGCCCCTTCGGTGGGATTGGTCTCTTATACCGGCGAGGTATCGACTTTGGGAACTGTTTTATGCCCATCGGGATTATTTCTGGAGGATTGGGCTTTGTGTTCCGGGGGGTGATCCAACTGGATAGAATATATCTTTTCGGATTAGATGCGGGCGTAGGTTGCTTTGCTTATTATTGAGATACCCTACTATGTACATTATCAGACCTTGTCTTACGAGAAATGATATTCAGCCTGACATCTATCATTCTAAAATCGTTACTTCAAGCAAGTACAAGATCCAGTCAGGACAGCGGTATAATTGTCTCAAACAAGACAGACAAAGCTAGAAAATAGAGAAAGATGAACAGTAACATATGCAAACACGCCAAAAAGACCGATTCAAAACGAATAAAAGAACGGAATGAATGCTGTGCAAAGAAAAACATCTCAAAATCCCGAAATACAAGTATAAAAAGAGAAACATTCGCCTCACTCCTCACCTCTCACCTCTCACCTCCCTTGATCGAGACAAGGCACAATAACCGGTCCAAACTTGACCACATTCCCGAGCGCCCCATCCCCCTGAACCATAAAGTCCGCTGCAAGACTCAATTTACTAACACCAGCCGACATACCATAAGAGGCATTAATTGCCTCAGGGTCATAGGCGACGATAGCGACGTAGTTCCTTCTTGCCATGAGCTTACGATACTCACGAGCCTGGCCGTTGACGTCCGTCTGGAAGATCTCCATCATGTCTTCCTTTGTATCGCTGACCTGAGCAGAGGATTTGTGGCCGTTGGCAGGGACATAGAGGGGCTTGCTGTGGCTGTGGAGGAGCTTGATGATGTATGATGGAGGTGGAGTGTTGACGACAGAGGAGGCGATGAGTTGATACATTGTCTTGTGGTCTGAAGGGTTTGAGGGGTCGTGGACGAGACCTGCGCCGCAGACATTGACGGCGCCGGAAAGGAAGGTCATTCGGATTGATTTTTGGTGGGCGATGCCTTGTAGTGTGCGGATGAGATATGTGCGTTCGAGATCCTAGTTTATGTTAGTATAATTGAATCGGGGCTTTGATAGGCAGAAGAGGGAACCGACCTTCGACTCGTGTGTCCATTGATCGCGTAGCTCGTCCATCGAGTTGAATTCACCAAATGGACTCAGTATACCACCCATCAGCCCGGATTTACCTACGGCTCGCTTCACTGAGTCAAAGCCTGAGCCGACGAAGTCTTTGGCGCCAACCACTCCGGCAACGGAGCTGGTCACCTTGCCTAGCACATTGTACGCGCCGGTCACGGCTCGCTTTCCCGTTGCGACAGTCTGGACAATGTGTTCTGCCGTCTCTAGACGGGGGTAGATGAGTGGGACGGCGACCATCCAGAGACAGTGTTGAACACTGGGCGGTAGCATTGCGATCTTCGGGAAGAGACCCTGATACGTGGGACCAGCCATGACTTGGTGAGGGTTCCGTTCTGAGCGACAATCTGGACCGACGACGACGACGCCGGGACCTAGGTATTTAACAAAGTGCCAGCCTGTGCCGGTGATAGTGAAGAGGTCCGTGTCATTGCTGACGTTTCGGAGAATGTCGAGAGTTGTGTGATGCTGGAAGAGGAGGTACATTTCGATACCGATGCGGCCTATGTTCTTGAACATGTTTGAGAACTGCATGTGCTCTGGATACGAGCCAAATCCATCAAAGCTGTGAATGTCAGTGCGCTACTAGTGAATTATTGATGTATGGCCGACTCACATGTCATGATCATCTATCTGGCAGACATAAGGAATCTGCGCAAATGACTCCCTTATGTGAGGTTGATCGAAATGGCTGGTATAGTAATGAAAGTATGCGTAAGAAACATCCTGCTGGTTAGCCGCTGTCCAAGGAGCGTTCTTTCTAGCCTCTTTTCCGCTGATAGTCAACCATTGCTTGAGAGACGGGATCTCTTTCCACATGCGATCCGCATAGATTTGACCACCCAGGCACAATTGGGTGTGGAAGCCACCGATCTCATTGTGCTTTTGCATAATATCCTTCCACATGTAACCGATACCGCCCACACGAGCCCGCTCACTAGCATTGACATTCAGCGAGAAGTCATTTCCAGAAGTAGCAATGAACCGCCAGTTAGTCTCGTGTCGACCAGCGACGAGGAACTCATATCGAGTGCAGCCAAGATGTGAGGTGATGGCGTAGGTCCATTTTGCAGGACCCGCGTCGTCCATCTGGAGGTCAATCTCATACTTGTAGAATGTCCAGCGTTGATGGGCGGCAATGTTGACTGCCTTCAATTGTCTCGGGTTCGGAGAAAGGTCCAGACTCTGATGCATATGGATCGTGGGTGGCTGTCCGGCATCCGTCACAAGCAGGATAGATCCCATCCAGATTCCACGCTCGATATCCATGTTGGTGTAACGCAAATAAGGACCAAAGTAAACACCGTTGGTTGGAACATTTTTGTACAAATCCATGCCACTGCTGGGGGAGGCCCAGAGAATCCAGACACAACGGGAGACTGTAGGCTTTCAAAGCCAGGAGTTAAGGGCACACCCGGTGACGCCAGAGGCTTTCCAAAAGCCGACAGACCCGGGGAAGCCAGTGGATGGGCACTATACACACTTCCCACTGGGGACAAGGGCGTGTCGTTGAGGTTAAGTGGCGTAGGCCCCTTGGGGAACTCCCACTGAGTTGACTGGGTGGGCAAGTGGATGTAATAATACTGTCCCGAGCTTGGATCCATGTGGGCAATCCACCCCTCCGGAAGAGGTGGCGGGGATGCTGGACCTGCGCTAGAGGGCCCCGGAGAAGTCACCTGGATTGTCTGATGATGGAAACCTGACAAGTCATTAGAAACAGACGCCTGTGGGGACTGGCCTGCCTGCTGTTGCTGCCTCTGGTCATTCCGGAAAGCGGGATGGTCCTGTGCGGAGGCTGTCGGCGCAGGTGAATGTGCTTTGACGGCAGGATTAGGTTGATTTACCAAGGCCGGATGCATCAATCCCGCCCCAGCGCCAGCTGCAGCGGCTGTTGCTGCCGCCGCCGCAGCGCCGTTATGTTTTTCATTGGGATACCCATTCGAAGCAGAAGGGCCAGATACACTTGAGTAGGCAGGAGGAGGGGAGGAGCTGAGGCGCATCCGGTCCATGTCTTGTTCCAGGGCATTGGGGGCAACTCTTCCTAGCTGCTCTTGTTGCTGTTGCTGCTGTAGCCCAGACCCAGGGTGCATTTGGGATGGGGATCCACTGTACTGTCCAGGATGAGCTTGAGGTGCCGGGCTACTATATTGACCTGGATGAGCCTGGGGCGGCGGGGTACTATATTGGCCCGGATGAGCTTGGGGCGGCGGGCTGCTGTATTGACCGGGGTGAACCTGAGGCGGGGGGCTGCCATAGGTTCCGGGCATCTGAGGTGGCGGGCTACCATATTGACCCGGATGCGCAGCAGGCTGATTGTTATCGGTGACGACCTCATCACCCTGATAAACTGTCGGAGGCCCATGAGGCTGGGAACCAGGCTGCTCAGTCGGAGTCCACGGGCGCTGTTGCTGTTGCTGCTGCTGCTGCTGCTGGAAAACTGGCTGCTGTCCAGAGTACTGCTCTGCTCGTCTCTGCGCAGCCACATTATGCGACTGGATTCCCTGTAGAGTCCCTGTGCCTGCGATGCCAGCAGCCGCATAGCGGGCCTCAATGTCAGAGGCAGGATGCTGGCCTGGGCCAACGATAGGCGTCTCTGGTGGCGGGGGCGAGCCACGCTGGGCGCGGGTTGTCGAGGTGGAACTGATGCGATTGAGCGGGCCTTGTGGGGCCTGTAGACTTGACGGGGGACGGGCTGCAGATGTTGAGCTTTGGCGTTGAGGAGGCGGGTAGTATTGTTGACGGTAATCATATTGGCTCGTATTTGCCGGTGGCTCTGGTGGACCGGGTGGTAGACTTGCTGGGGGTCGAGGGTATTGTCTTGCGGCTAAGGCTTCGCGATCTGGCGCATCATGGCCAGGCGATTCGGGAAGCGGCTTAGGGGCTGCACCTCTTCGTTCGGCCAATGTTGCGACTCGGGGTTCGCGACCGTCCCGCGGCCGCAGTGCTGATGGGTATTCATTCGGACTTACAGAGCCAGAGCCAGGACCAGCTGGCGGAGACCCATATCTAATGTTGTCATGATATCCGGTTGAACTTGAGGTGCGCATTTGCGGACGTTGACGGTCATCCGGGTAGGGGAGCGGGGCGTTTGGTGGGGGACTGGAGCCGGCGGCCGATGCTGGGGACGATGAGTCCCGTTTACTGATACGTAGAGGGCCGATGGTGGGAGATTCTTGTCTGCCTGGACCGTTGAGGAAAAGCTCCTCAGGGTGCAGAGCACGGCTGCTGCCAGCACTCATACTTAAGTTATAGGCTCGAAGCTGCAGAACGAGAATTCCGCCACAGCAGAAAGAGAACTCTCAATTAGGGAGATAGGCGCGAAGTCGGAGGTGCGGGGCAATGAGAAATATCTCTATTCATAGAAATTGTCCGAGAGCAAAAAGAAAAAAGGAAAGAAAAAGCAAAGGAAGTAAATTTTCTTGTAGGCGCTAAGTTGGGCGAGACGCCGACCCCGCAGGTGACGAGAATCACAAGTTGCTGCCTTGGCTTAGATAGTATGTGTACTTATATAGTGCGAGATAGGACTAGACAGGACTAGACAGTACTTCATATACTACCCTGTACTATAGACATGCTAATATTTGCCAAGGGAGATTCCTATAATGGGTCGGCCCGAACAGTTTCCATTATATTCATTTCTATACATACAACCCCCATATCCCATCAATCATAACATAGTCAAAACATACCTAGTTCCCCATAAAAATATGCCCGGATGCGCCAATGCTCTGAAATAAAAACACAAATCCAATCAAAATCCGAAATTGACCATTTGAAGGCCCTCCTGAGCCATTAGGTCAGACCAATCCACATCAAATGTATGACCCACATGCATGAGGCGCTCCAATTGTCGCTCATATACAATCTGAAGAATAGCACGAGTCGTTGCTGCATTGCGACCCATGCCATCTTCCTCGTCTTCCATACTAGTCATCAATTCCATTGCCATCATCTTCAATCCACTAGCTGACGCCGTAGCACCCGCTAGGAACAAGGGGAAAACTATAAAGTGTCGATCAGCTCGACGAGTGTGTGTAGTCCGCTCGGCTAAGCGTAAGATCTCTGTTGCGTGGTGGTCGATGTCTCCATCTGGGCAAAAATCGGATTCGACTCGTTGTCCGGGCCACATGCTGCTATAAGAGAAGAGTTGACAAACATGGTACAGCGTAGCGGACTAGAAGGAGTCGGTTAGCTTTTTGTTATACGGAAAGTGAAAGCGGAATGACTGACCTGTTGCATAATTTCCCGAGACCGCCGCGGGAGATTATCCTGGTGTTGATGTAGGAAGGCAACATCGGGCGATTCCCATAGTCTCCCAAAAGCCTGGCGCAGATCGCTTACTTCCTGCGATCTCTGATCAAACTCTGCAAAGGGCAGATTCTGTTTATCATGACGAAGCCGAGCAGCCAAGAAGCCTAGTTGAGCCGCCAGTCGGAATGTGTCGTGGTACAGACGCATGATCACCGGCAAGCTCTCATGCTCATCGGAGTAAATCACACTGTATCCTTCTGGGGCAGAAGGGTAAAGAAGACATTCAGAGCCAGGGAGCATCTGGTGGTCGATAATGGCTCGTACAAACTCTCCAGTCCCTGCTCCGCTGAACAGGGCGTACAAGTCAATATGGCACACCCACCAGAGGATGAATGGATGAGGTTCTTGGCCATACTTGGCTCGTCGGAGGAAAGCGATGTGGAGAAGGCGAGAGATATGGTGAGACCAAAGGTTCGAGCCGTGTGGCTCAGCGGCTGCGATCTGAAGGATTGTAAGTAAAGAGACTGGGGGAGAAAGTGCAATAGTCAAGTCTCACCTCGTAGATCAGGAGCAGGAAGTGGGTGAGGAACAGTCCATCGGAAACGAGGTCATCGTTATTCCGTAGGCTGACCTGGAGCGAGGGAAAGGCTTGCTGATAATATTGTAGCGCATCGACATTGTGACCTGTGCCGCTGTGGGAGAGACTAAGGGCTGATACAGCCATCATAGCGTGGGAAAGCTGTAATTATTAGCACGAGCATACGAACTAAAGAATGGAATACCCACAGGAGGGAAACGAGTGGCTTCCTGCTCTAGGAAGTCCATGCTAAGAGTCATAAAGTGACTATGACTATCCGATCCACAAGAATCATCCAACCTATGGTCATGGGGGAATAACTGCCTCCATACGACATGACGGAAATGGGAGAAAATAGTCGAATCCTGACTTTGCTGGTCAAGACGTGGGTCAAGGAAAGTCATATGACTCTCCTCTACCTTCACATCAGGCGAAGGAAGAGAGGTGAAATTTGGCGAGAGAGATAAATTGCAGAAAGGATCTGAGATCTCCGAGGTTGGAGAGATCCTGATCTTCCCGCTAGACGGCGAGCGACGAGTAACATCTTCAAAGGTCTTCAAAATCACCACATTGGGATCTTCTCTCGGACTGTCTGCCTTTGCCGTGATTGTGGGACTATTGGTAGCAGATCTCCTACACTCGGGATTTGATTTAGGTTTCTCGACATCGTCTGCATATTCTGGCAGAGAGGAGAAACTGTCTGGTGTCATCACGACATGATACGTGCCTGGACTAAACGCTTCTGCTTTCTTTTCCCGGTCTTCGTCCGAAGTGAGCAAGGAAAAGGGGGAAGTGAATCCCCGAGAGAGAAATATTCAGTTCTCTCATCATTGGAACCCGGTGAGGTGACTACTCTAGTTAGTACTATAGGAAGAAAAGAAGAAACCCCTAAAAGAAGGTGCTTACGATCCCAAACGACATGACCATTTGTCTTGACATCGGCCATACGGCCCATGATACGAGGGGTATCATCGCGAAACGCCAACCGTGGACGATAATCGCAAGTATGGCCTAGACGTGTACATTGCTAGAAAGAAATAAGTAAAAGTGGGAAATTTGAAGCGTGAAGAATGCATACATTACATTGCGGGTGTCCTTCATCACATTTGACTAGAGAATGTGCGTCAGCCACGGAATTAGAGACAATTTGTCAAATCACTTACCCTTTCGACTCTGAAAAAAAAAAAGAAAGAAGAAAACCCTCAATTAATCAACTGTTCCTTTTTTTTTTTTTCCCAGGGTAAAAAGATGGGGGAAAAAAAGAAACTCACTCGGCATGTCCTATAGCGAATCAGCTTGAGGTTCAGAAATGATATAGAGACGATCACTTACCAACAACCGGTACGAGATCGTGGAGGCAAGCGGATGCGCGGTGGAGCAATCAAGGGCTTTTCAGACTTGGCGAAGGCGTCAAAAAGATCTTCCTTGGGGGCAATGATGGGTAACCGTAGAGGCGGTTTTCCAGAGGCTTTGCTCCGTCTGTTTTGCATGATCAGACTGGTTACCGTCATAAGGCTGTATGGATCAGTGTTGTACGGGCCGAATTGGAACACAAACACATACTAGTATATATTAACGGGGGAAAAAAAGAAGGAAAACTAGACGAAGTATGGGGGAAATATTAAAGATAAAAGAAGATATTCTAAGAGATAGGGTGGGGAAAAAAGGGAGGGAAAATGGCCTATATGTTCAGAAATGCAGTTCATGGGCGCAGTCTTTTTCCAACGGGTGGCGGGAATTAAGGAAAAATAAAAATCATACTATTTTCAACTTGCGAAATTATTTGAAGAGAGCTAAGGAGAAAAAGGGGAGAAAAATTAGAAAATAATCGAAAATAATAGAAGAGAGAAAAAAAACAGGGAAAAAAAAAAACACTAGAGGGAATAAAAAAAAATCAAATGGCATGCAGATGCCAACCATGTGGATGAGAAGTTACTATTATTACATTGAGAGAGAGAGAGAGAGAGAGAGAGAGAGAGAGAGAGAGAGAGCCCAAAGATTCGGGTCAAAGGGAAGGGAATTAGGGCAAAGATACGCAAAGTGAAGAAACCTCGGGACTTCAGGGGCTGGCTGAGCAGAACCCTCCCCTTCCGGAGCCGAAGAATGAGCTCAATTCACTTGGACTTATCTGGGGAAGAAAAAAATATCAGTCTCGATGGGCCGGGACCCCCGGTCTGGATCGTGAAAATCGAAGAGATCACACTTTCGATCTCTTTTGGACTCTCCGCATTCCAAACGGACTTGGCCGAGGGTTAAGCGAGTGGCGTAGCCTTTTTGAGGGTATTTCACAGGAATTTAACTATACTATTTCCCCCTTGGAATGATCTCCTATTGGTACGATTAACTTCATATGTATCCTCTTTTCGAATAAGAAACATATATTGATCGACCCCGTAAATGAAATGCACCACGTGGGATTCTTAATTCGGCAAGGCCAAAGCCTCGTCCAGTAGACGCTGAACCGATCCGGATCGTTCACTGGCTCGCCATTCACGAACACGCTTGATAAGGGTGTCAGGCACAGCCGCTTGGGCATGCGGACTCAGTTTCAGGTACGCTAGAATGGCCTCTGCACGACCCTTGCGGATGGCCTCCACAGACCCTTCCACTTCGTTCGTGAGTAACTTGTCCGCCAGAACCGTCAAGGGCACGGCGATTTGTTCACCGGATGCCGGTGAAACGATCCACTGATCCACTCGCGTAAAGAAAGCTCGGAGCTCATCGTAGCCCGTGCTGACGACCTGTCGCCCACCAAGTTGGAGAACTTGGGCCAGCGGACTGGTCACCTGTTCCACGTACTTTCCCAGCGCTATGGTTAGTGTTAGCAAGGAATGACGCTAGGGGTTTCTCGCAGGGTTTTTTTTGGGGGGGTGAGATTTAGGATTTCGGGTGCGAAGTCGGGGATTTCGGTGACTGACCTTCACCCGAAGCGGTGGGGTTGAAACATTGCAGGAGACATTGTACACACGCCGCAAGGGTGTCATCTTGGGTCGAGCCGCGCCCATTCCTGGATTCTATCTCCATTTGGTCCTGGTCCTGGTCCTGCTTCAATTCTTCAATCACTCCCGGAATAACCTTTAATACATCCGGCATGAAATTGAGGTCCTTGCGTGCTTGTGCAATCTCGCCCATTGCTCGCAGTCCATGCGGCCGGTAGAGCACATTAGTTCGCTTCGCTTCGCGAACCGTGATAGTCTGACATGCGTTAGCATTTCTATAGTTCGAACTCGTTCCCTTATTTTTATAATAGTGGAAATCTTGGAAGTGGCGACATGTCAGCCCATACCTTTAGCTTATTCAACTCCTCGTTGGCTTGCCACAACTTTTGGGCTCGCCCGCTAAATTTCACTAGTGCCTTAAGCACCACTTCTTTACCTTCCCACGTCTTCCCCGCCAGAGCACGCTCCAATA